GCGAATTAGACCTTCCTGATTTTTTAAGCAACGTCTTCGATGTTGTGATGCCTATCGAATTTCGCGTGCTCATCAATCAACGGCATAGCCACTTTTTCTCGTTTTTTTAGTGGTCATGTCGCGCTGGTCAACCTACTTGCACTTCATTTCTATCGAAGTGGTCGAATCCGTCACTCACTCGTTTGTCACATGTTAAACGGATTACAGATTATGCGATTCCTTGCCACTCGAGGTCATTACACAATAGATATAATCGGTGGTATTGTGGCAAGTTGGCATGCACACACTTACGTCGTATTTCTAGATACATATCTAGTTGCAAATACTTTTGTAAGATATGTTGTACGATCTAAGCACCTGAAATTTACCTAATAAATAAGATCTTTCTTTTGTTGATCAACTGCGCTTGTTTTAAGCAACACAAGGCGAAAGAGGCTTTTAATGGCTGAAAGCTTTCAACGCAATCCGTACGAGATTAAAATGTGGCGCATACTGCATTTGTTTCTCATGAATATGAAAATGCTTTATATTTTTATAATACTCGGTATGAAAATCGAGTACCGAAGGCTTGGGAATAGTGAAACTCATGGTTCAAAAATCCATAATAGCTTAGGAAAAGTTCAAAAACTCAATGTTCAATGAGTTCATTATTGAATTGCGCAACAAGATAGTACTCATCAGTAGATTGATCCGTAGGCTCCTTTCTAAAAGCAAGAAGGCATATTTCTGCAGTCTTGGAAAAATATGCGTCTATATATCACAAGTCTTTGTATTTCGATATAATGGAACTCTTGGAAGTTCCTGAGTTTCCTTGAACTTCGTAGAAAGAATGTTTCATCTTCTGAAAACACAAAGTCAGCTCCGAGTTGATCGTGTCTGTTTAGTGGCTCATATACGCATTGACTTGATTAACAAATGCACGTTGCTGCATTACAAATGTCTGTCCATAGAGCTTACATTAAAAGACTGCGCAAACGCTTGCACATAATCTTTACACTGCTTAGAAAGCCTTTCCGGGACTTGATATATCCGTAGTAAGAGGGTGTCGGCATATTTGAAATCAATACCCACTCCCGCAATCAGGTACACCAACATTCTCACAAATAACTACTATGAGGTATGTTGGAGCTATCTATATTGTACAAGAGCTTTTTTAGCCTTATCACCTCTAAATCTAATCAAATAACATTTTGCTTATAAGAACTCGTTTGTTTCGCCAAATAGGTTACTTCCAACAAAAAAGCACAGCAGCAAAACATTGAGAAATCACCTATGGTTTTTAGCATCCTAGTCCCAAACACATGCAGCCAAATGTTATTAACCACCGTTATTTTCATTAAATATCCTTCCTTCGATCGACGTAACTCTAATTGAAAATTCTAATAAATGATTGATCGATCCTACTTCCTTTCCAAGGATTTCAAAGTTACTAGTTAGTTGCAGTGTTATGATAACTGCTCTTTCCTAGTATTATTACATGAAGCTTGCTAATCGAATGAGACTACGCTATGTCAGTAGTTAATACCTCAATTCTAGATAATAACTAAAAACCAAATGCCAAACTATACGTGAAATCTAAACGTTTCTGCGTTAGCACATGCCTATCAACACACTCAACGCTTTGAATGAAGTGTTTGGCCAATAGTTCAAGTATCATTCAGCGAAGAAAACTTAATTTAGACACATGCTGATATGAATGAAAGTAGCATTCAAAATCGACACAATATTGCTTGCTACATTCAATTAACGCTCTTCAAATCACAAAATTGATCTTCACGAAAAATGAGATAGTTCATGATTATGTATAGAAAAACGAAGCATTCAAGTTGCAATCATAAATATGAGTTGTGACTATTACTGAATGTTTTTATTGTTTGTAATAATAATATTATGCATGATCCATTACTATAGTTTTCTGTATCTTACATGTATACTTATTCCACGAAAAGCTCATATGGTATTCACAAAAAAAAACTTATACCACTGCTGTCGATGACCAAGATACTGTAGTCATTAAAGTGTTCGAAGGCAAAAAATCGATCACAAAAGACAATCACTTTTTGGGAAACTTTTATCCTATTGGTATTTTACAAGCACCTTAAAGTGTACCTACCATTGCCATTACATTTGACATTGATGTTAATAGTATCCTAAAGGTGCGTACAATGTATAAATGATAACACTGAATGTGAACAGTCACTTATTATTTTTTAGGTCATTACTGAGCAGACGATAATAGGCAATAAAAGAAATATTGCGATTGATTCAAACACATATCAATTATCATCCTAATAGATTAATTAAATGATCAAAGATGCCGAACGTTTTGCAGATCGAGACAAAAAAAAACATTAAAGACTGAATCCATAAAAAAAATGGATTTGAATCGCATGTGTTCTGTTGATCGAATTCAAAACCATATATTGATGGTAGTATGTTTTTCTTAAAGATGTCTATTTATTAAAGAGATAATTAGCTAATAAGAAAATGCTTCTCAGAATATTATCATCAAGATCAAAGATAACGATTGATTCTTATGGTGAAAAAAAGTTTAATGGCTGGAAACGAGTCAGACCCGTACCCAGAATTTTTTGCGTATGCTGGATCTCAGTTTCAGAGCATGGGACCCAGATGAACCTTATGGAGGCTGATATTGGACCCAAATGATAAGTCTAGATGAAACAATTTTTGCGATCGAAGTTTGCGAAAAAAAATTCTTTTTTTGGACCCCACCTGAAAAATTTTTTGCTTTTAGTAGTATTCCGTTTTTTAGAGTTTGATCGTAATCTACATCGAATTTATCGATAGATTTAAAATTTCATCTAAAAATATGCATCCGTTCGAACGTTATAACATCTGAACGGATGCATATTTTTAGATGAAATTTTAAATCTATCGATGAAATTCGATGTAGATTACGATCAAACTCTAAAAAACGGAATACTACAAAAAGCAAAAAATTTTTCAGGTGGGGCCCAAAAAAAGAATTTTTTTCGCAAACTCCGATCGCAAAAATTGTTTCATCTAGACTTATCATTTGGGTCCAATATCAGCCTCCATAAGTTTCATCTGGGTCCCATGCTCTGAAACTGAGATCCAGCATACCCAAAAATCCTGGGTACGAGCCTGAAACGAGTCGAAATGCAAAAATCGAAGAGCTTCAAATACACAAAAAATAAAGTAGACGAAATTGGAGCAGATACTATCAACGAATTTATCAGATGAAATTCTACTTATAATGATCCTCGATCAACATCACACTCATTTCCAGACGAATTATAAGAAATATTGAATAATTTTATACAGAATATGTAACATTTATCTATGTGTAAATATTCATTTCAAACTGAAATTCTAGTAAAACATGTAAACATTGATCAGTCTATAAAATAAAGAGTGCTTGCGAAAATCATTGTTCTAACTCTTATAAAACAATTAAATTCACATAATTGAAAATGGATTATATTGATTTGTGCGAATTGTTATAGAGAGTCTCTTAACTCTTCATTGGTGTTCTCACTTTAGATTTCATAGCCTTCCTGAGATACCCCAAAATACACCCATCAAAAATTATAAACAAATAACAGTTTTGTTTTATTCAAGTTATTCATTTATGTGCTATAAACTTCTAAGTACTTTTTTTTTATAACAACTGGTAGATCAGTTTCCATGGCAGTAACATGAAGATAAAATATAAAAAAAAAGATTCTTTGGAACAGTTTTCACAGAAAAGCTCGGATAGAGCCGAGAAAGTTATAGAGTAAGTCATTTGAACTTAGAATGATTGAGATACGCTCATATATTAATATGTACAATCATGTATTCCCTTTAACGATAGAATACTTGCGAATCGTATTTTTGATATAAAATACAGAATTTGTACGTTGAAAGAAATTTAAATAGATTTATACGTAGTATAGAAGTACAAGTGTATAATACAAAGAGAAAATTAAGATCGAAGATACGAATTGTTGATATACCGAAATAGAATATCAGAAAAATGTTGTTCAAGATTGTATCTAAAAAGCTGGGTCTATATATCAGCAATTTGTATTTTCGAGCTTAATTTTCTCTTTGTATTATAAATATCTGCTTTTATACTACATAGAGATCTATTTAAATCTCTTCCAATGCGCAAACTCTATTTTTCATATCACAAATACAATTGGCAAGCATTTTGTCGTTGGTTGATAGATAAGAACATGAGAATTTTTTCTGTGTTTCTCTCTTTGCCTTTTTTCATCCTGAAAAAAATAGAAAATTGCGTAATCTTTCTGTCACTATGATAAAGTTGTTATCATTGAAGTTTCTTTGTGTTTGTCTCCCAATAAAAAAGATAAAAGCTTATACAATTGAAATGTGTTACCAACAAAAATGATGAAAGTATACTTTTGATCAATAAAGGATTACAAGTGTTACCCTGTATCATGAAAATATGAATCATTTTCCTTAATGATTGACGTACGACAGAATAATTGGAACGTATTTGAAAAACAAACTAAGAGATAAAAAAGGTTACATTCAATATAACAACAAATTATTCCTTATAATATTGTAACTGTTACAACGAAACAATAAAGATTGGTACGATATGGGTGCAGGTGGAAGAAGTGGGTTCTCAATAACTGCAGCGCAAATCAACATATGTATATGTGACTGAATGGAGAAAAAGGTGATCCCCCGTAGAATTCGAACACGCACCGTTTCCTATTCAAAAAGATGTTCTAAGCGAGTTAGACTATAAGGAACATCTAATATTAGGTTAGCGCCGGAGTGTATCACCCTCAACGCTGACATGAGCCTTCTGTAAAAGATTATCATATCCAGTTCGAATTCTGATTAATTTCACTGAGAAAAGCACAAATTACTATGAAGTGTTCCATTCGATGTGTTTTTTAATACGCCGATAACAGATTATTTTTACTAAACTGTTATCTTACGAAAATGATTTAGTATATTTTGTTAGCTATAAATAAACTTTTACAAGCGATTTTAACTACTTATGTTCGTAAATCAAACATGACTTTTCGTGCTAATCGCTTGTCGAACAATTCATAAGCTTTGGCAGCGTCCGACAAACTCATACGATGAGATACAAAGGTTTTGAATTGATCTTGCTTTTCTGAAAATAGTTGTAGTGCTTCGGGAAACAAAGCTCGAACTGGACATCGTCCAAATTGCAAACGTATATTCTTGTCATAAGCTTGAGGTCCACTAAATGGAAAAGCATCTTGCTGCACCCCAACAGATGCGATAACACCCCACGGACGAATGAGATCGTAGGCCAATTGCAAAGCATCAGCATGTCCAACCGCTTCCAAAATAGCATCAGCTCCTCGACCTTCCGTTACCTTCTTGATGGCACTTACAGGATCATTATTGAGATTGATTGGAATAGCACCATGTTTCTTGGCTTCCTCTATTATCAATGAATCAACATAATCTCCAAGATCTAGACATAAACAAAGAGGCGTGGCTTACCGAGACGTTCTTGAACGCTGTCTATTGCATATACGATTGGAAAGCGATCGCAAGCCGCAGTGATAGCACACAAACCAACAGGTCCACATCCGATGACAACCACGGTTAGATTGGGATCTTGACGTTCCTGGTCGCTGAGCAATGTCCACGCATTCTTGGCAGCAAAATAGCCGGTAGGAAATATGTCAGCCATAAGAAACGCAAGATCATCAGGAACTTCCTTGGGAACCAAGAACCCAGTAGTATCTTAGAAAAAAAAACCGTGTTCTGAAAAGACTGTCTTTGCAATAATGGCCGGAATTATAGATTATTTTAATCGAAAAATTCACATGCAAACCTGAGTTAATATGTGCATGACTACTACCAATCTTTCACAATGCTCATAGCTGCAGATGAACATAGAAAATGGTCGAACAATTTTAGTGAGACATGTTTTGACCGAGTTCTCTACAGCTTTTATGCAATAGAATATGTGACAGGGCCAAGTGCTTTTACTAGAACCATAGCTCAAACAATCGATTATTTGGCTAAATTCATGAGATTGTTCTTCAAATGAACAAACAAATCGTATTTCATTGAAAAAAATTCTTACCAGCAAAAGGAATTCGTACATATTCGGCTTGACCACCATCGAGCAAATGTGTTCCAAATACTTGGGATTTTTCACATCGTGAAGTGAGTGCCTTTGTACAATAGAAGCAGCTGCCGCATGATGTAGAAAATGGCACAATGATTTTGTCGCCTTTCTTGAAATTTTTTACATCCAGCCCGACATCAATGATTTCTCCAACAAATTCATGACCCTATTCATATCAAAAATTCATTGACCTGAATTGAAAGTAGAAAGATCCTACTGACCATGATGACATCTGTCTCACTAGATTCATGTCCTCTGTAAATATGCAAATCCGAGCCACATAAAGCAGTTACGTGTACTTTAATGATGACGTCCGTAGGGGTATTACAAGTTGGAATGGGACGGTTTTCAACGGCAATATTTCCCACACCTTTAAATATGACAGCTTGCATGATTTTAGAAGACTTCTAAAAAAGAATCAATATCATCGTAGGTATCTCTTTTGTTTGGCAAAGTCTTTCTTAGCTTGCATTTTTTAGAACGTGGAGCTTACTTTAAAAAACATTAACTTGTTCTAGACACTTATCTGAAGCGATAAATAGGTATTCAGTCTGGTAGAAGAATTCATCTTTTCTAAATCAATATTTCGAATAAGGGATTCAGTATCTGTTGATCTATTGAATCTTGAAGAGAAAAAAGGATTTGGCATATGAGATATACTAAAATTGTCAACGCACAACTGATAATAAATGTTGTGGTATATATGAATTTATCATTTAACTGATTACTTTTAAAGTTTAAATTCCATGATCCAAAAATGAAAAGAACAAAAATGTCAACATTTCTGTCATGATCTGTAATAGTAAGAGATATTTTCGGCCTGGAAGCCCTTATATTCATAAAAAACCTATTTTGGACATATTGAGACTTCTTGATCGCATTTGAAACAATTCTATGATGTTTTACATTTTACTCTCGAAGAAATTACGCTGATTGAGTTTTTTGATCATTTGCGTCACAATAGTGATGCATGGTGGGAAAAAGAATATTTGCCCTTTACGTGGAAGAATTAGGAACATTTTTTCTACCATGAGTCTTTCGATTGTTATTTGAGAAAGCATATGAAGCTGCAATGCAAAAAAAAACAGTTCTACAGACGACGAAATATTTTCTCGCAAGAAGTTATCCAGTTAAAAAACATGGGCAGTAAAAGATAGTCGTTCAGTGTCGGTACTTACAATGAAAAATTACTCAAATTTAGATTCTACTAGATAACAATAAAAACCTTTACTCTCAGTGAAGAAAGTATTTTTTTATATGACTTTTACTAGCCTTCATAATAATTACCACCATTGTATGTCTTTCTCTGTTGACACCGATAAGATAATATTTTTTTATCATGTCTAATGACAACAGCAAAGACAAATAGCAACAACTCATTGAATGAATATGGGTACAGCTTTCTAACTCTAACGGAGTTTTGTTTCTGTCAGAAAAAGTCTTCCCTTGTTTTCAGTGCGTATCTGTATTATATACTTCCTAGACATTTAATTCTTGTTTCTTATATAGTCATTGAGCCAATTTCTTGGAAGAAAATGTTTTCTTGAAATCAAAGCTCTATTAGAGTTCAATAGTGATATCTGTTGTATTCAATGTGACTGCCATATATTCTAAATAAAATCGTGTAGCATTACATTTTGAATCAGGGCATCCAACTATCCGAAAAATTATTAGAAATGTTTTCACACATTCAAATTGTTTGATTTTCTAATGATTTACTAATTTCTTGTCGCGATAGAAATAAACTATAAATATTTATTCAAAATCAATTCAGTTAAATGAAGTTTCTCAGTGAATACATTGGTCTATCTTATACTATACAATAGTTCGACATTCGAAATTGTAACTGAGAACTTCAATATACATCTTAAACAAAATGGAGAAGAGAAGTTCAACAAGACAAGAGCAAACGTCTGACAGCTGTTGCTAATTTGAATGATTCAATTCTAACCTTTACATCTTGACAGTGACTTGGAAGAAGCACAGCTCGAGCCACAACATATTCTTGAGAATTTTGGTTTTGTTTGTTTGTTTTTGACCAATATTTATTCTTCAGTAGATTCTCACCTGAATTTTCTGCTTTTTTGATAATGAGAGCAAAAAATGTCACTTCAATTATGTCTTTGCGTTCGTTGATCTATTCTGAAATCATCTCTGAAGAAATATAATGAGTATTGTCACACATCGAGTCGTCGAGTTTGAATCCATTGACAAAACATAGAAATCGGGCTGATCAACAATAACGATATCGGCTACGAACAAGTTGGGTTCATTAAAGTTTATAAATCGATCTTTGACTAAAGATTAAGGGGAAACTACGATTTTTCTGTGATCTTTCTTGCATCGTAGCAAACTGTTAATCATATAAATTGTCTTTCCAAATTCGTATTTGAAGAAAGCATACGGTTACCTCAACAACGTGTGTAAAATCGTGATCAATTGTTGCATCGAATTTTTCTTTCTTCAGTGCTCCATTATTATGTTGGCTATGATGCCACTAGATAGTATGCTCAAAGATAATTCTAACGCATATAAAATTGAGAAGTAAATCTTGCTCCTTACCATAGAAATGAAATTTCCAAAACTCCAAAACAGTTGACATTGCTAGAAAATTGTCAATGCAAAGAAGACATTACAGAAAAAAAGCTTCGTTTAATGAAATGATTGTTTCGTTAACTAATATGTACTGTGAAAGCTTTAGTTTTCTATCAATTAAAATAGAAAAAGTTCTAGAAATCTTATTTTGGCTGAAAATGCTTTTGGAATTCATGGTTAGAAATCATCATGGCAGTATTTTAAAACGTTTTTAAGATGAATTTTAAGACTAGAACATCATGTTCTACTAGTTCAAAAAGGTTCATTTCATTTGCATGAAGTTAATGTAAACTCTAGTAGACTCGAAAGAATCACCCTCTTACTCCTGATTATAAATATGATTGAATTTCTAATGAAAACTTCAAACAATTTCTGTGTACAATACACGTCTCATTTACATCATTTCAAGAGAATACTAAATGATACTAGGAAAATGTTGGAACATAGACAAAATATTTGTTGGCATCCATTCAATTTTCTTCTAATTAATTTTAATCATTCACCGAAGTTAAGATTATTTTCGAAAAGATAGATTGTGATAAAACGTGAACAAGAATTTTTTCGTTTCTGTGCCCTTCTTTGTTAACCTTTAATTTTCTGTGTTGGTGACAGTATTTAAATTCGTTTCAAAAGGTCAGGACTAATAAGATCAATTCACTCGAATAAAGCTTTTTATTAAATAAAAATTTCTTTTGAAAAATCAAACTAATAATTATTTTCTTTTTTTGCTTATTATATGTCGTGTTGTTCTAGAATAAGGAAAATTATTAAAAAGAAAAATTAATTAGTCAGCTATCCTTTTTCTTGGAACCATTCCTCAAATAATATTGCATGACAATCTATAACTTCAGCTGATTGCACTAAATATTTTCCGATACATTGGATTTGGTCTTAAATGAAAAAGTTTTTCTTCATCGATTTAGCAAATTTCATTAAAACTATCGATGGCTTTTTTACGCAGATAGATCAAAACAGATATCATTTATGGTCCATTATTTCTGAGTAAACGGTTAAAAAACGGCAACTTTATGGCGGTAAACTAACCGTATTTTCACCGTATACAGCTGTTTATGTGCCGTAATGTCACTATGACACAACCGTATTTTTGCATCAAGTATTATGATGGTAATTGATTTTTTCTATTCTTTTCTCGTTTGTAGCAATAATAAGACCGTTTTTTGAATTAAAATTATCCAAAAATTCATCATAAAACATATTTTATATATTTTTTATTTGCAGAAGATGATTGTCTTCGATATTGTCCATGGTGTGTCCAGAACGAAAATGCTAATATAAATTGGCTTTTCATACATACGATCGCAACATAGTATAGAAAGATATGCGTTCCACAATATCTCGAAATTTTCTCTCACATTCTTCCAACCATGTATCTTAGCTCTAAGATATCAAAACACGCAAAAAAAATTTTAAGACGTCAAGATGAAAACTTAATCTCAAAAACCTGTCGACTTGTTATCTTCTGTAGATTTCGATCAATTGAACCCAAAAAACGATTAAAGTTCATCTAACGTTGTTTTTAACTATGATATATTAATTACGTTTTCTTTTGATAGAATAATTATGCCTTTCGTCGATTTTAATTCTAATTGTTGTACAAGTCCATATCTGTTTCGTTAGTTGTGGTGCGGTGTGGGTCTGAGTGTGCGTGAGTGTGGATGTGGGCAAACAAAGAGAAGATCTAAATCTTGCACCAACATCCCAACATTCATCCACTCATTAACACTCACACTACGACTTCGTCTCATTTCAATATTTTTCCGTTTAAGTATTTGTTACAGGCAAAATTAAACTTAGACAGAATTTGTTGTAATAAGGCGCGAAAGAGTACATTTTTTTTAATTCTTGTTTTCACTATCAATAGAGAAAAACGGGATTTAACTATTTGTTTAGATGAACTATACATAAAACGTCAGAACATTCTTTTCACACATTTAATCGCATCATAAGTACAGTAATAACTTCTTTTTCATCATCAGAAGTTGAGTCTCGAAAATAATTGTAGGCACAAACAAGTGAACACCTTAAATTTTTGAATAGCAACTTTCGAGAAAAGGCAGCGATCATGCAAACCATGTACAGGGTATAACATAATTATAGCCTCTCCCCCTCCTATATATACGCATACAAAAATATTTATTTCATTTCAACAATGAATGATATTCATCTACTACTGATATGTGTATGTGGGAGTATGCAAGTATTCACTGATACCTTGGCATCTCTCTTTCGTGTCTTCTTATTTGAAGAAAAAAATAGAGAACACTGAAAAATGACTCTAACATAATTATAGACCCTCTTTGGAACAAAGATACTTTCTCTACTTGTAAAGTCTACTAAACTTTCATTTACAACATTTCGTTGCAATACTAACTATTTCCTATCTTATCCATTCAGAAATGGGTGTGGTTTCTAGGAATAACATCATTAGAATCGAAATCGTACCACAAGAAGCGAATTTAAGAAGGATTTGACTCGATAATACTAATCAAATTTTTTGTTCTTTAAGAAATTTTTCAGAAAAATTTGGATTATAAGTGCACCTTTGATCCATAACACACACATATCAGTAGCAGATGAATATCATTCATTGCTGAAATAAAATAAATATTTTTGAATGTATATATAAGGGGACCTGTAATTATGTTATATTCTATATGAAAAGTTCCTTCGTTGCCTTACAAATTAGTGTTCACTAGATATTGACTCAAATTTTAGGTGTTGGTATCATACATATTTTGTCTTACAAAATACTGTCTTGAAACTTTTACTATGCATTGCAAAACCTAATAAACCAGTGTTAGTATATGAAGCGATGTACGAAGTTGATAAGCGTACTCATTTTGAAATGGCTCATCCATAACGCGATCAATGCCTAGATGGTTTATCGATGAATTATGCCTCTATAATTGGCATCTTTTACGAATCTTTAGAAAATTTTGTTTCTAATAACAAAGACGAAAAATATTATAACAATTTTTATTATCAATATTACCAATAAGTTTGTTTCTGAACATTTAAATATTTAATTTTCAAATTAAAATGCAAAACATATAGAATAAACAGAACCCTACGCTTAAAGTATCAAAGTTGAGATGTAGACATTATGCTGTTTATAAACAAGAGAACCTTAGCAATGCATAGCAACATGTTTGAATCATTTATGTAATTCATTATATGCTATCAGTTGTTTTCACAGCTGTCATATATAAATGACTTGTTTCCAGAGATTAATGTGTGCTACTGTTCTTATTGTTAGCATTGTATTTATATGGAAGCCTAAGAAAGACGATGTCTACATGAATCTATTTATTGAGGCTTTTATGAATAAACAGATCGTGTTGCTAAAGATCAGAGTCAATATAAATTGCTTCTATAAAAAAATGTACAACAAAAAATTATCACCAGAATAAACAAAACATAAATAACTTCCCTAAAAGATTAAAACTGACTTATATCCAAAAGCATATATCGTCGGTTATTTAAAACCTACAGCTTTCAAAACTCAACTAGATTTCAATAGACCACACTGACAAACTCAACAACTTCCTAAAGTCGATTAGGTGTCAACAGAAAGTACTTGGTGAGCCCTACAACTAGGGATGCAACGGTGACGGTGGTCACCGACGTGATCGGTCTACGGTTCACCGGTCCGCCAGTTCACCGTAGGACCAGTGGCACCGTTCCACAGGTATACGAGCACCGTAAGCACCGGTCACAATGTACTGCAGATAAAGCTACTCAAGTTCAACTGAGTCTTATTAAAAATGAAGCTGACCATCTCATAATCGAGAGGTGCGCATATATTGGGTATCGCTCTGCTTTCTGTGATTTATGATGATACTTCACGAATTTAATAAAAATGTTTCTTTAAACTGACCGCCCCTTCAATACAATGCTAACCGTAGGCGTACGTCAGACAACATTAGGATGTTCATTCAGCTGATATTTGTTAATGCGAGGCTATCTGAGTATGAAAGATGCTGATACAAAAAAATTAGGTATGCCGCGTCAACAAACACCTTTAAGGTCAACAATAGCTGTTAGAATGTCGGGAACCTACGGTGATCGCCGGTTTATAACATTCTACCGACTCATCAAAGCTTAGGATAACCAGCAGTACGCTTTTAATGTCCATCACCGGAGGTTTTCTTGGCTCTATCGATCCCATAACCGGCATGATTATCACATTTATCGATGACGAAAATTTTCAACTACTATAGTGAGCAGATCTAAATTACATGTTTTTAAGTATTACCATTAATCCTAATCATGTTGGTTCGGAGACCTACAGTGGCAGGCAGCTTCTAGTATTTCACAGACTCGTTGAAGGCCAGAGCAATTAGTAATGGCAATCTAGTCATCATCGCTGTATGATTTCGTGAATCTATCAGTCATATAACTAGCTTCGTAGACAGTCTCCATAAAAACTTTTCACATGCTGTTTCGTCGTGTACTCAAAAATATAGTTTTATACATCATGATGAAAGTTTAAAATGCTGGTTAGAGAGCAGGAACCTACGGCGATGATCAGTTTGCAGCATTTGACAAGCTCGTTGATGCTCAGGATAGTCAGTACTCAAGCAGACAAACATTTTCAAAAACGCGCTTAAGCGCACAAAAAAGGACTTAAAATCAAAAAAAAGTGAACGTGCTTGACTCACAATGGCGGTTCCCGACTGTCAGCGAAAAACAGTCACTTTTTGCCCTTTTTGTGCGTTTAAACGCGTTTTCAGCAAAAAAACGATTGTAAACGCATAAAACAATCATAAAAAGTTGTTATCTTTTTTCTTTGTGAGAACTGTGATTGTAATTATTATTGTGATTCACGAGTATGAAAAAGATAAGAACTTATTATGATTGTTTTATGCGTTTACACACGTTTAAACGCACAACAAGGGAAAAAGTGGCCGTTTTTCGCTGACAGTCGGGAACCGCTATTGTTAGTCAAACACGTCCACTTTTTTGGATTTTAAGCCCTTTTTTGTGCGCTTAAGCGCGTTTTTGAAAATGTTTGTCTGCCTGGGTAATGTCCTTACAACCATCATCACCGTAGGTTTCTATGACAATGTCAGTCCTAAAACTGGCATCGCTATCATACTGATTTAGGAAAAAAAATTCATATACAATAATACATCGCTGTAAATTATATATTTTTAAGCGTCACCATGTGGTCTCATAATGCCAGTTACTAGAGCGAAGACCTACGATGTTAGACGGTTTCTGGCATTTACAGATTCATAGAGGCTCAGAGTAATCAGCAGTGCCCATCTAGTCACCAGCACCGTAGGTTTTCGTCACCCTATTGATTCTATGATTAGCTTTGCAGCCATGCACATCTTGGAAAAGATTTTTCATCATCAGTTTTGACGTGGTTAGAGTTAGCACCAGATTCGAGTTTTTGCTGTGCGGATCCGTTCATGTACTTGAGTTAGATGCAAAATTTTACGGCGAATCCGATGGTATAATGATCAACGGGGGTTATCGAGCAAAAACTGGTACTTGACCCCGAAATACTGAATTTTTCAAAATTTTTTGAAAAGTATTTGCTGTCCGGATTCGCTATTTTACTTGAATTGGGTCTTAAAATGGTCAAGTTGGATTCAGCATGAAATTTTGCATCGAATGATATCGATTTAGTATGGGGTCATCGAGCAATAATTTCTCACCTCACCCAGCCACACTCCCTCATGCTAACTCTCACCCTCACCCATATGAAAAACGTTTTTCCCGATGACCCCATACTAGATCGATATTATTCGATGCAGAATTTCATGCTGAATCCAACTCAACCATTTTTAGACCCAGCTCAAGTAAAATAACAAATCCGGACAGCAAATATTTTTCAAAAACGTTTGAAAAATTCAGTATTTCGGGGTCAAGTGCTAGTTTTTGCTCGATGACCCCCCCCCCCCCCCCCCCCCCCCCCCCCCCCCGCTTTGCCCGCAACGTGTCCCACAACCACACGAACCCAACAAAAAACAACACAAAACAAGACAGAANTAAATTGGTAAAGAATTAAATGCTGATTTTCCATAGATAGGCTGTTTTTATTAATTTTGACACTCCATTAGTATTTTGCGATTTTCTCTATGAAAACTTTGTCAAATAGAAAAAATAAGAAAATATTCGTAATCAGCATTAAAAATTGGATCTAGAAATGTATGTCTAAAGAAAAAATGAAGAGTGCTCAAATTTCGAATTAGTTGCACCTTACACCTAAGAAAGAAATGTTTATTGTGAAAATTTCAAGTCAAAATTTGAAAATCAGTTTTTCTGGTATACCTGAGGGGGACTATGGCATTCGTTTAAAAACTACCAAAACGTTGGAGTATTTCTGCAAAAATAAGCCAAGAGCTTGAATTATTTCAGAAGTTTTTCCTCGTTCATTTGATTCTACATAATAGACATAATTTCGATATGAAAGCAATGTATCCTTTAGAAGACTTTCCTCGTATTCATTAAGACTAGTTTTTATATTGGGTGATATTTTTAAATATTTTTCTAGATCATAGAAAATCGATAGAATTGTTGATCAGTTCAAATAGAGCCATTCTTAAAATTGTTTAGTTTTGCAAAGAGATGATAGAGCAATAATAATGCCTAGATTTAAAAATATTCACATATAAACGAAATATGTCGAGTATTGGATTATATTTTTAACTTCTAGAAATTGGGATTATGTACGTTTACAAATGCAAAAACATCCTGAGTATTCTTCGACTGTGATACCATCAGCAATGTGGTCAGATATTGAACGTAACAACACAAATAAATCTCTAATCATTCCTGATGATTTACTCGATACATCTGAAGCTCGTCTTCGTTTTGAATCGTATATAAATAATCATCATATTGAGCAAACACGTCGAATAAATTGTCGATTATTTTTTGATTTATTAAATCGTTTTTCTAATGCTGGTCTGGTTCATTATGGTAATGCATATGACAAAGATTGTGTTTATTTTTTGGGTCGTGAATGTTATGAATCATTAAATGCACAAGATCGTTTACGTATATTTGCATTACATCAATCATATCTTTATCGTTTAATATGTTTACAATTTGTTGAATTATTATTTGAATCATTAGAGATTTTTATAAATACATTCGAACAAATGAATTTGACAACAAAATTAAATAATGAAAAAAGTTTTAATAGTAGAAAAATCACAACAGTTACAATTGATGATATATTTCAAAAAGAAATTATACAGCAAATTAAACATGATTCAAGGTAAAATGACTTGTTGAGTTGTCGAATATCGGATCAGTTTTAAATCTAAAATCTCGAGATTTAACTGTAACGATGTGAACCGTTGTATTTCTAGACGGATTTCGAATGACCTTTTCTTCAAGTAAACATTCACTAACGAAAAAAAGATAAATTAGACTGCCATTCGACCGAAGCTCGAGTAGGAAAGTTGGCCGACTGTACGAAGTGCACTTGTCACCATTTTTCTTTTCAGTCGCTTAGTTGTCATGGTCAGATTTGTGTCTGGATCGTAACTCAAGTAAAAACACTTATAGGCATCAATTCTTCTAGAATTTCTCTGGTCTCAATATGACTTATCTCAAAATAAGTTTATATCATTTTGCTATGTTTCTTCTAAAAAAAACGTCCAAAGAGGATAGTAAAATATGTCCAGATCTTATTAATGTGACAAGACATTAGAAAGAAAAAGTTTTAGAAATACTGATTTTCTTCATGTCTACGAATATTGAGTGAATAGTTGTTTTGATACTACTTCTATCAATTTATTGGAAGTAATTCGAAAAATACCCATCGCATACAGTCTTTCACAGATACTATGTGGACTTGAATCGATTTATTGCATGCGAATGAGTAAGATTGGATTCTTTTGGAATCCTTCACCCAGACTACAGTATGCAATTAATTACATCAAATTTTGACTGCCTTTTTTTGCTGCTAGAGATTTTTGAGTGTTGCCAAAGTTTTCGAGTCGTGTTATTGCAAAGTTGACAGATGCAAAGTAGGGTAGAATACAGACGTATAATATCTATCGGGGTGCGCTAATGTGCGTTGGAGGAAATGTTTTAAGTTTGAGAAAAATTATTGATTGTACTAATAAGAGTACAAGTTTTATACAAGTTTTGTGATTTATTTCTTGATATAAAGTATCGAAACTATTTCTTTGAATAACTGATGAATAAAAAACGGTTTCCTGAATCAAATTTTTGTCAGTTAAGTAAATCGATATCTCTTTCACATTCTTTGACTGTGCAAATGAAAAAAATAATTCGACTTTTTGCTTTATCAGACCTTCATTGGTTTTTTCATAGTACTAGATGGTGTTGTGTCGAGTATACACTGTTGTTGCACTACACTATGTTCTGGCATTATATTAAGGTATTTACACCAAACTCTTCCGTTCATCGAACAACTTCGATTTCTGATCTTTCGAAGTCCGAAGATGAATGAGTGTGAAGTGTGGACGAGATCTCTATTATACCTACACTTAAGTTCTTTTTCAGTGACAGATGAAGTGAAATCTAAGTTTATGTTAGCATTAATTAAATCTGACAGGAAGCTTACAATATTGACAGGACTCTTGGTCACTAAAGTTTTGTACGAAGTGAAATAGTAAGAAAATAATTATTGCTAATACAAATTCAAATTGATTCCTGCTCGGATAATAATATGACCTAGAATAGATGAAAACTTGAATCAAGTATCTGAAATAAAGTTAATAATAGATTTATGTTTTGAAATTTTGCTTTTTTGTTATTGAAAAATTTGATTTGTAATGAAAATAATAAGCTAATACTTTTTTTTCGAATATAGATATCAATCATTAAATACACGTGAAACTGATCGACATCGTTTAATAATGTGCCATTGTCATTTTCTATATGATTGTATTTATTATCCATCATTGAATATCAATCAATTATTGAAACAACGTCGACGTTCATATAAACGACGAAAATCTTCATCAATATCTTTATTTAGTAATATGAATGTTGATGATAATTTTTGTCCATATACTAGAAAAATTCTATCAAATAATAATGATGAAAATGAAGGAAAATTGACAAAAAAATTTGAAATTGGTTGTCCTATGGAAAATAATTGTGCTGATATTCGAATTGTTAATGAAATTTTAACAAAATTAAAATTAAAAAATACCAATAAGTATGAATTCCTTTTATTTTTTACTTCAGAATTATTTTCACTTTTGTTTTTTAAATAGAAATATTTTAATTTGTGGAAATGATATTGATGTTAATCATTTTTTTCGAATGTTATCTGTAGGTTATAATTGAATTTTTATACGAAAAAAAATTGTTATTCTTTTATTTAGAATGGTGTATATGAGTTTCAAATAAATTTTCTAACATTAAAAAATCTAAAATTTCAAATAATTGATGGTTAGATTTAATTTTTTTTATTTAAATTAAATTATTTAAAATTTTGTCCAGGTTGTGTTTTCGTTTCGTCAAATGCTCAACAAATTTTACAAGAATTTATTTCTCAGAAAAAAATTCATTTAAATATCGATTGTAAGTTCAAAGTCATATGCGAAATGGCAAGAAAGAAAAAAAACTTTTTTAATTCAGATATTCCAACTATAGATCTGTATTCTCAAATTGATGGTCACTCCTTGTCGAACATTCCAAGTGATATAATAAAATCATCACTTGAACATCTTTTATCCTATGAAGAATCTTTAAATAAATTACAAAAACCTATTTATCTGCGTATTCTACTTTGTTTTATGTGTGGTGGTGAAACAAATGATGTTCAAATACTTTGTTCTCAATTATTTTCACGTTTTTCTTTTATGATTAACAATCAATCATCATTTGTAATTAATACTTTTCTTGATCAATCAAATCGAAAAGTAATTAAAAGAAAAAATATGAAAAAAATTCTTTTTAAAAGAATTATAAACTTGTTTTTGTTTAGATTGAATTCATTCCTGTGTCATTTCATTCGTTATTTGCGATTAAACTAACCGATTTCGATGGATTTATTTTATTTTATGATCGAGATCGAAAAGCAGCTTTTAATACAATGATGTAAGTTAATGAAATACATGTTTAATCGAAGATTTTTTTGTTTCGTTTGGTGGTTTTTATTAGGTATCTGAAAACTATAAGGACAACATGAAGAGATCCAAGCAGGAGAGGGTACTTCAGATATAGATTCTTTTTCGACGAACATAATGAATCGAAATCTTGCTGTTTTCTAATATATGTTATACAAAAATTGAACTTGAGTAGTTTTTTAGTCTGTTCTATATATACAGAATATTTTTTACTCAAGGATTGGTAAAGTCACGCTCACTTTTCAAAGGCAAGAGAAGATGCTCTTTCGGAGTTACATGGCCACTAAATATAATTCTGGTTATCGTGGAACGAAATTTTTTAGTAACGCTCAGTGTTCACTTTTCTGAAAAATTCGTAATAGACACTTGTCAGCGACTTGTCTCTGATAACCAATATTAGAGCTTGTCGAGTATAATTTTTTAGTCTGAATCTAAGACATTTCTCAAGCAATCTTGATGATGATCTTAATAATAATCATGTGATAATTGGATTTTACTTGTACAGTATTACCCATTGGTTCAGATCCGGATCTCGAACCAACCTGACGAACTTTAATCAACATCTTCTCTTTGTCAAAAAAGTTCTTAGTAAATCATTCTTCTGAAAAAATATAGTTGAGACTATTCATGAATTTCATATTTAATTATTTTATATTTAATTTAGATATCTAGAAAAATATATTTCAATAAAATTAAAAGAAAAAAGTAATGATAATGAAAATGTAATTGGAACAATGATCGCATGTCCACCTATTTATATTCTATCGTGTGTGAAAGAACCAACTTTATCAAATACAAGAAAATATTTAAATGATACTCCACAAACAGATTATTGTGTTCAATGTCACAGTGGAACGATTAGAAATTTTGTTGAATGTAAACAATTTTCATTTTGCTTTTTATTATAAGACTTGATTGATTTGTTTTTTGCAGCACATCTTTTACCTTTTCTTAATCAATGTTCAATTGGAAAATATGAAACTACAACTAGTAATAATCAACATCAAACTGAAGAGCTTCTTGCTGGTGTCACATCCTACTTTGAGTAAATCAAATTATTTTTCTCTTAATAAAAAAAGAACAAGTCTCGTTCGTTTTTTTTTTCTCAACCGTAGTCGTGCTTCTCATTCATCTACTAATGATTTAATTACACATAATCTTGAACGTACACATGAACCAATAATCAATAGTATTAATAATGATCGAATGGTTTCATTAACACTATTAACCAAATCAAATGAAGATTCTCCGAAACATCATCATTCATTATTAACTCCAACAAATCATGAACAAAGTAAAAATAAAAAATGAAGTTCTTAAATCAATAAGCATCTTATGAAACGCGATCTTCAAGGAGTGTTGAAGTATAGGAGTAAACATATAGCATATGAAATATTTATTATATTTTTGAAGAATTAAGTGAATGAATGATGACGAAATATGTCTCAAAGTAGATAGAATAAAACAATATCCATTTGACTAGCAAGAGCAGCTATATTGTGTTTTACACATTTTAATCTCGTTTGTTTTATAAATAGGTTTTTCTTATCAGTCATATCCTTATCTGTCGAATTCAACTAATGGTACGGATTCAACAATTGTTCCGACAACACCAGTTGATCCATCAATACCTAATCTCTCGTTTATTTCATCCACAAATTCAATATCTGATTATCAACGTCTTTATTTCCAAAAATCAACTAGTATGCGTTTTGCTAAACTAATTGAACATCCAAGTAAGTCATAGTTTATTTCTTCTTGTTTATTATATTTAGTTGATAGTTTAAATCCTAATAAAACTTAGATAGCTAAAGCTAAAGTATACTTATCTATTTATTCTAGTTAACTATTTAACATTTAATGGTAATGTAGATATATTAGTGCTTGTAACTTTATTGCTTATTGTCCTTTATTTATAAATTTTATCCGAAACGTTTTTTTCTCCTCTCACGCATTACGTTTTCGCTAATGTCCTTATGATAATAAACGAGAAGCAAAAGAAAATTTATCTAGACACCTTGCTATTTACTGTATTTTGTACATTATAATCGTAAAATTCTTTTTTTTTTCATTTTCTTTAGCTAATATAAGCAATTATGACTCATCACAGAATAATACAAGTGTACGTACAGAAAAAGAAAAATTCTTCACCAAATTCATACTGATCAATCTTTTATTTTGTTTTCTTAGTCATTAACACGTCAAAGAATCTCGGAAGTTGAAGAAATGAAATATCATTTATACAAACATCGAACTGCTGCTCATGTTAAAGTTCCATTAGCAACGCCAGAAATAATTGAATTAAATGAAATAACACCTTTTTCAATTCAAGAATATTATGAAACATCATCTCCAAATATAAATAATAATAAAAATGATCTTATCAATTCTTCATCATCTATTATTCATAATAGTACTATCGATGAATCGATTACAGATTCATCAAAACAAACAAGAGGTAGAACATAAATTTCTTTTTTTTTCTGTATTTAAAATTAAAAAAAACGCTCTGTTTTAGCGACTGATTCATCTGTTGATAGTTCAAGTGATGAGCACTTACGAGCATCAACAACTACACAAAATGTTGTCGTTTTACAAAGAAAAGTGTCAGATAGAAAAATAAAACGTGTACGAGCTAAACAAAATGACATAACAGGTTCAGCATCAAGTAGTGAAGTTTTGAAAAAACGTATTGAAATTTAGTTTTTATTTTTATTTAAAAAAACAAACTTTATTCATTTAGCTGGGTCTGATGATGATATTTTAAATGAGGATGATAAATTCAATCAAAAAAAGAAACGGCGACCAAGTTTTAAACGACGAAAGAAAAATATTAATGATCAAACACAAACTGATTCAGGCATTGATTCTAGAATGGGTTGGTTATTTATATTTTATCTACAGTATAGTACACCAAGCAGCATGCTGGTCGTGATTAAATATACACCAGTCCAATTTTTGAACTGGTCAACTGGATGTTTCGCGCTTCTTAGTAGAAGAAAGTTGCTATTACTGAAAAATTCAAATGTTTTCGACGATTAAAAAGACATAGAATAGAGACAAAGTAGCAGGTCTTGTAACTGTTGACAATAGTAACACATCACTAGTGATTCAGAAACCTGAATCTACAAAATGAGTCATTTCTTCAAATTTTCGAGTTAAGATTTTGGAATTAGGTACGACAAGCTCTAATATTGGTTATCAGAGACAAGTCGCTGACAAGTGTCTATTACTAATTTTTCAGGAAAATGAATACAAACCGTTATGAAAAAATTTCGNTAGAAGAAAGTTGCTATTACTGAAAAATTCAAATGTTTTCGACGATTAAAAAGACATAGAATAGAGACAAAGTAGCAGGTCTTGTAACTGTTGACAATAGTAACACATCACTAGTGATTCAGAAACCTGAATCTACAAAATGAGTCATTTCTTCAAATTTTCGAGTTAAGGCTTTGGAATTAGGTACGACCTGTTTTTTCGAAAATAACGATTTCTTTTGTAGAACTAGCCTGAACTATAGGAATTTAGTTTTTGCCAAGCTGACAAAGGAAGTTCTTCAACTGTTCAATCACTTTTGAATCGAGATTATATACATTATGTGAGTCAAAATTAGTTATGAATATCCTGAAAACAATTCAGACTCCTATCTTATTGTTGCACAGATATTGCAAATTTACGGTAGTTTTTAAGTGAATGTCGTAGCATCTTCTTCAAGAACACAAGAAAAACTCATTTCTAAATTTCGACTTGAAGCTTTGTGTACAGTTAAGCGTTAACGACAACAGTGTTTTGTGAATGTTTTCGATCTGTTGATGTGCTTCTATGTCGAAATAAGAACATTGTATCTATTGGTTTATATGAGCGCTGTAAAAGTAAAGACACTATTACGATAGTGATATGTATATCTTATCATGAGGAAGTATGTAAATATAAAACGCTAACACTATAGAGAGCATTATCTATGCTGAAAATTAATTTTTGGGTAAAGAATTTCTGTTTTCACTTGATTAAGAAAAAAGAATCGATTCTTACAAATAATTTTAATTTAGATTCGAAAGATTCAAATAGAGTTAATAATACACCTGAACCTTCAACAAGTTTTGTCATATCAAATGAAGAAGATTCAAGTGTGGGTGATTGTACGAAAGATAGCAAAGTAAAATAAAAAGAAACGATAAAAATATGTTTATTCATTTATTTTATTTTCTAATCTAGAATGCATCCATTGAAGAACTTGAAGAACGGCCAACAGCTAATTGGATTCGTCGACAATTACAGTATTTTGCTCAAGCTAGACGTGAAGTAAGATTTTACCTTCTTGTCTACTAAATAAAACAAATCACGGTTTTTTTCCTAGAAAAGCGAATTGAAATCTCGTTCGCCTGCTCTAACAACAATATGTTCTCCGCCTCTATTCAAAACAACAATGACATCAAATTCATCTCAATCACATCAAGTCCTTTCTCCATTTTCATCTATTGAAAATTCTCATCAACATGTTCCAATTCGTTTAAAACTAAGTCGTTGTGTATTATCAACTGAAACAGGCATACCATTATTCGTTGAAAAATGTGTTCTATTTATTGAACAACATGGTTTAACGATTGAAGGACTTTATCGAATATCTGGATATAAAAATCAAGTTGAATTAATTATTCATAAACTTAATGAAGATCCAAATTGTGATCTTAATTCATTAGAAGTTCCAGCAAGTGCTGTTGCAACAGCATTTAAAGATATGATGAGAAAACTAGATGAACCAATTTTATCATTAGAACAATTTGATCAATGTCAATTATTAACACGTAAAAAAGAGGAAAATGAAAAAGACAATTTATTTTTTATATAAATTTTGTATTTTAGTTGATCAGTTACGTGAACAAAATTTTGTTCCAATACAAAAAGCATTATTACGTACAAATGATCTTAAATATCGAACAAATAAATTTATTTTTAAACATCTTCATTTGTAAGTTTAGTTTATTTTTGTGAAACATGATCTAAAAGGAGTGTTGAAGTATACAGGATAGAAAATTGGACCTACTTCCTTCTTCCACAGAGATTGTGATGGACACCTTGACATTTCTGAAACTGACAGTACAAATAATAGTTATATCGTGTTTCACATTTAAAGTCTACAGGAAATTGAAATTTTGACTGCAGATAGACCTCGTTAAATTCTGATCACAAGCAGCAACCCGAAGTCGATAGATCTTAATGCAAAAGAGTTACAATGGACACACTGGTCTTTTCCTTAGGCGAAAAAAGGCTTTTTTGACACTTGTCTGATTTTCTATTATTTAGATGCGTTAACCTGCATTCTCTTTTTAACAAATAAAGGCTTGCATGTCTATATTGTCTCATAGATAGGATACTTAAACATGCTGTAATCTGAAAACACGAGAAAGCCTCCATTGTCAAGGACAGTCTCAGCATGGATCTCTCCTCTGTTGGTGACTGTGATCGTGAAATTTTCAAGAGAAATTTTATTAGAGCAGGACACTCACTGGAGTAATAAACATTAGCTGAAGATATGAGTCACTTTTCAATGATTTCCATCAATTCTAATGTGGACATTATCCAAAGAATATTTCATAAATCAGGCAGCACTGAGCTGTTGAATAAGGAGTCCAAAGTCATGAGGTTTGTTTTCTATATCGAGACATTCTCGTCTGAAGAAAAAGAACCTGTGTTGACTATCTAGCCTCTCCGTACGCAGGTCGATCAGAGTTCAACATGCTCTATTTATAGTCAAACTATGATATGAATTAAACTTTAGGTGCTTTTTACTTGATAGCGAAACTATTTGTGACCACTCTATATATTTAAAAATAAAAAAAAATTATTTTAGTGTTTCACAACATGCTACATTAACTCATATGGATTCGTCGAATTTAGCTGTTTTATGGTGGCCTAATTTATTTCAACCACAATTTCATGATTTACGTACAGCTGAACAAATTTGTCAGAAAGCTAAACCATTAATTCAAGCAATTATTGATAATTATCCAATTATTTTCGCTTCTGATCAAATAAAAGAAAAGATTTAATTAAATTCTTCTGTATTTATTGGTATATTTTTTCTTTCTAGTCAACAACGGGTGCTTCCGTGTTGTGATTTTTGCTCTTTAATTGAGAATTCTTGTATCTATGTGTATTTGCTAGTCGTTAACTTCTCTCTATTCCATGCAAATAAATTGAAAAATTTGTTTCGTTGTTTTTTTTTGTAATTAGAACAGTAGTTTTCTTTTCGTTTTGTATTTGTCAATATATGTGTATTTTGTACATGTCTTGGGGTTTTCTTTAAACAGTATCAACTTGAACAATGCGATTGTTGAAGGACATGAAATAAGAGTTTCAATTGAAGACGAGCCTGTATGTTTGTGTGTGTATATATTTCAATGTATAGATATGTGAATGTGTTTTGCTTTTTCTTTTGGTTGTTGTCTATTTTCAATGTATCGTTTTCTTGGTTTTCTTTTTGGTATATAATTGAACAAAATATAAATAAATATATTTGTATTTAACTAAGCTCTTTTCGTGATAGAATTCAAATGGTCTGTATAAAATGAAGAAAAAGAGTATGTATGCTTTTTATTGAATAAATCAGAAATGTAATCTTTCGAAAAAATGGTATCTATTGTAGGAAGTGACTTTTCGAAAATAGTCTTTAGTACTTCATCTTTTGGAGTTCTATTTCATTGGAAAACTGAGTCTTCTACAAAAATGAAAAGATAATATTATTTTTCAAATATCATCCAGACTTGCGTTGGAAGCACTACTGGTACACATTTCACCACAGTCGGTCTATCGGGCTATCTTACTCACTTTCCTGCTCTGATTATATAAGCTTACTTAAAATTGCTATTCGGTCTTCCCAGCATTTCATTCAGAATACATTAGTGTGTTGTCCTTTCTGAAATCAGAACGGTCATCAAAAATACAGACTGTTTCCATCGTTAATCCAAATATATTAGGTGTCGAGTGTGAGTGTTGACATGAGTTTTCCCTTCGACCAGACCACCACACATACCCTATTGCGAAAGCTACCTTTTTGAACGACTTCACACACCATTTATGAGACTAGGTGCATATGAATAACGTCAAAATTCGAAAATATTTGAAAAACGTTGTTCATGATCAAATGTGCCTATCAAATTGGAAAAGTAGACGATCCCAGTACTAGAATAATCTTAAAATGATTTGGTCCCATGCGCATGTGGCACTAGGGCTGGCACTTTAACTTTACTTTAAAAGTTAAAGTTACAGTGGCACTTTAAACTCTAATTAAAGTGAAACACGTTAAAACTTTAACTTTAAAAAAAAGTTAGAGTTACAGTGCTTGTGCCATGGGTAAGAAACGATCATGCTCAGTTCTTGGGTCCTCGTCTAGCTACCCTAGCAGGGGTACTTGGGTCCTCATATGGCTACCCTAGCAGGGGTACTCGGGTCCTCATATGGCTATCATAGGAGGGGTAGTTGAGTCCCTATATGGCTATCTCAGTGGGGATACGTGGGTTCTCAAGGGCTATACTATAGGGATACCCTTAGGTCCTCAAGGTCTGTACTAAAGGCGTACTTTAGGCGTTCAAGAGCTCTACTATAGGGAGACCCTTAGGTTCTCAAGGCCTTATACTGTGAGAGTACCCTTAGATCTTCAAGGCCTATACCATAGCCTATAGTATAGGCCCTGAGGGTCTAAGGTTATCCCCGTAGTATAGCTCTTGAGGACCTAAAGGTACCTTCATAGTATGGTACTTGAGGACCTAAGGGTACCCCCATAGTATAGCTCTTGAAGGCCTAAAGTGCCCCTTTAGTACATACCTTGAGAACTAAGCCTATCCCTATAGTATAGCACTGGTGGACCTAAGGGTATCCCTATAGTCTAGGCCTTAAGAACCTAAGGCTACCCCCATAGTAGAGGCCTTGAGGAGCTAAGGATACCCCTATAGTATAGCTCTTGAGAACCCAAGTATCTCCACTAGGATAGCCATATGAGGACCCAAGTACCTCTCATAGAGTAGCCATATAAGGACTCAAGTACCCCTCTTATGATAGTCCTATAAGGACCCAAGTACCCAGCCTAGGATAGCTGTATGAGGACCCGAGTGCTCCCGCTAGGGTAGCCATATGAGGACCCAAGTACCCCCCGCCAAAGTAGCTAGACGAGGACCCAAGAACTGGGCATGGCCGTTTCTTACCTATGGCACGAGCACTTTAACTTTAACTTTTTTTCAAAGTTAAAGTTTTAACGTGTTTCACTTTAATTAAAGTTTAAAGTGCCATTTTAACTTTAACTTTTAAAGTAAAGTTAAAGTGCCGCCCCTAGTTTAAACAGCAATATGACAGTAGGATTTACACTCTATAGTTATACAGAATCTTCCTTGGATGTAAGAGAAAGTTTTTGATAACTTTTATGAACATACTGTGCATTGTATCCAGTGAAGAGAAAAAATGCTGAAATGAAGTACAAAAAATATACCCCAGGGATACAGTTTTTATTGAAGTACAAAAGTTCAGAATGGGGTATATATGGCAACCCTGGCTAGTTGCCATTATTATTTATCGCAAGTTCAATCATTTCTATCAATTAATCAAAAATTTTGTTTTATTCATTGTCTGAAAACGTTTTTGGCTACGTTCGAAACCGCATCAATTAATCATATTTCAGTTGCCTGATCGGTTTCAAGAAGTTGTATTACAATATAGGGAAAACTGTTGTAGAAGCATATCAATTGCGTCCTAATACTCCATACAATAAGATATCGATTTAATTTAGACCGGTTAGTAGCACGTCATCTGATGCTAGCTGGATTAATGAAGATGAATCTTCAAAGACTATTGTTCATCGAGACAGATGTAAACTAAAATTCTTTTTGCATGTATATTTTAAATTGAACGGTCCTGTTTCCATACATAATGCAGATAAAGACAAGACTATAGATTGCAAATATTATATTGAAAATTGTCGAAGGCATTTTATTAATGAAATACGCAATCAAATAAAAGACATCAGGTTCGAATAGTACAAGATTCTCTGACGATCGTCGTTAACTTCATACTTTATCTTTTGCTATTAATTATTTGACAATATTATACACCAATATAATACGACATTCACCATATTCACCAGATCTGATACTATGTAATTCTTCCCTAAGCAATTTTATCGAACGTAGCTTCAAGGATTAAATAAATGAAATAAAATTTCCTAATGCAGTCTTGAAGGTAGAGAAAGTTTTTGCAGAGAAAGAATTAAAAAAAAACTTTTACTTATTGTTCGAAAGTATCGAACCTGCGGTTAATAATAATGGCAATTACCCTGAACATTTGACAAACTGAAATTAAAAATATCTCTTTATCTCCATATTTTTATTTTATATTATTAGAATATTTTATGCTATTAGAACCTGCAGTCAATTTTAATTAATTAATTCTTTCCTTTTAGTGAATCTCTTGATGGTGATTATATCAAGTTTTGTCAGCTTATCATTAGTGGCTCTACAAGACTATCTCGAGAAATTGTCAACAGACCATGTACCATGGTCACCATGGCTAGGACGTGTTCTTTTAATTTATATGGTGGCCTTTCCTATATGGCAAAAACTGGATCATTTTTAGTGGTAAACCGCGGCTTACCAGCTAGGAGCCGGTAAATCGAACAAAACCGGAAAAAGTAGCGGTAAAACAGCGGTAAACTGCCGGTTTTCTCCCTGTTTTCACTACATGGGTTATCTTGCACATGATGTTGTTATATTGATGGTGTTGTAAACGTCATTAAATAGCATTTTTATGCTTCGTATTTTTCTCGGTGATTCAATCATGAAACAATAAATGTTCGGTTACTTTCCAGCTACTCTTTATTTCACTATATCTATATTCTTTATCTGCATCAATCGTTTGCAGTACTCATCAAGAAGGAACAAAAGGAAAATATGAGAAAAAGCATGAGAATCAGAAAGATGTCTTATTGAAAATAAAGCACGTCTGAAATATATTCAGTTAACGATACATAGAGGTAAGAACGAGAACACAGGAAAACGAAGCAAAACAGAACAAAATCAGAATGAAGGAGAATAATGATAAAATGAAAAGATTTATGATTTACTACACAAACTATTTTTCTCAAACTGAGACAATTCTCCAGAGCAACTTACCGCAATAAATTTTTTCTCTTATAGTTGAGAAATCGAACTCTATTGAACGAAAATATGCTTTCCACAAGTGTTTTATAAAAAACTTTGTTCTTTCATCTGAAATTTACAAGTTACAGGTTAAATAATAATCAAATCTGTATCGAAGCAATGCGTATAACAGATATATGCAAAGAATAATTAAGCGTCTAAAGGAAGGGGAGGGGGCATCCTTAAGAAGCAAAATCGGCTCCCTGCAAGAATTTGACTTTATCCTTCCTATTTTATCAGTTTGAATGTCAGATGTATATTTCTAATAAAATCAAACCATTTGATGCACCCCACATAGGACACGACTCGATTTACTGACCCCTCTTTTCTGTATATTATATGCTCTCAAAAGTATTAGGAGAGTGAGTGGTTTAATGGTTATTGCTTCATTCTTTCATTCTCATGTTTAGTCCATTTATATACCAAATTGAAACTCTTTTATTTCTCTATCAAATGACATCTAAATGTATGAAAAAGATAGTCCTATTGCTTTCTTTCATATTGAAACTACATTATCATTATATGTATTTACGTAGAAAATCTTTACGTTACAATAGTCATATAAAACTTTTTATTATCTAAGACATGCGGATCCATTCTGTATTGTTCACTAATCTATAGATCTGACTGAGATCTTTCAAATAATGACAAAATATCCAGGAAAAAACGTGGGTAAGTAGGTCTAGTTTCCCATGAGTTGTGAACATAGTCATGTCTAAATGAAGAAGTTAAGATGCAGTAATAATTCGAGAGTGTTACNAACTTAAAATGATTTCATTAACCACTATGCAAAACCCTCATTTCTCTATTTTATTGCTATATGGCATAGTGCTGAGCAGTGAACGGGTAGGCGTCGATGAGTATGTTTCGAAATTGGGTGCACGCTGTACGATTCTGTCTGTGGATGAACAGAGAACTCACAGACACGTCAACACTCACACCTTTAGCACCCCGTCGTCTTGCTGAGAAGTATGTCTTAATGAAAATACATATTGCTCAGCATTGCAGGATGTAGTAGCTAATTAAAGAAATACAGCTTTGTATAGGAGTAAATTTAATTTAATTTAAGCCGACCTGGAAATTCCTTGTGCCGAAATGCCTTTAATCCTTTGTAAGATGAGATTAGTAATTATATTGATTTGACAGACAGGTTGTTAAAACCTTCTTCGATAAAACATAAGCAAGTAACGCTATTTTTCTAATTTTAACTTTACAGAAACTATCATTGAATCCTGTATGTATAAATAGATTATAAAATGTATCAGAGTTTAAATTTAAGTCATTTATGATTATGCAATGAAAATTGCAAGCAAAATTAACTGGACTAGACAACATGAAAATGATATACTACTCCTCACTTCATCATGAAAAATGTTTGATTTCCTCTAGCGAAGTCAAACGTTTGCCTTGGGTTCGATTAGACAAAGAATACTTTTGTGGAATTCACATATATTTTTGAAGAAAACAGTGAGTGTAAGTTTTAAGGTCAAGTTTTCGCGGCTCCCCACCCTTCCCCTCCTCCCTCCCTCTCCATTACAGACACCATAGCAACGAAAGCCCCCATTACAGATATTAACAATCAATAATAAAAGGTGTTAGATTTTCTAGTTTTTTTTTTTTTTGAAAATTGATCAATTTATAATTTTGAAAAATAATGAATATCATTATTTGTGACTTGATTAAAATATATGATAGCGTGTAAGATCAGCTGTAAATATCACAGATATGTAAAATACACTTGTTTGTCAATCTATTCAATGATTATAATAATAAGAGTGATAAATTAAGAAAAACGAAATTAAAAAAACGAAAAATAATGGGAGAATAGCAACAATAAAAACAAAACATAGAGCGCCCGTAGAAAAAAAGGAAAAAATTCTGTTTGAAATGTAGAAATTGGAGAAGTTTTTACTTCAGTGATTGATTATCCTGCAAACAGATTATAGTTTACGAGAGATTTTTCATTTTACGTTTTTTGTATTAGATTAATGAGACTACAGAGCATATGTGAGTTCCACATTTCAACCCCAAAGTGCCTGCGCTAACAAGCTTTTTCTTCTGGGTTTGATCTAAGAATTGCCACATACTCTTTAATCTATTCAGTTTTGCCTTTTAGTTTTCTGAAACAATTATCTATAAGTTAGAGATAATTAAGCAAATTTATGCTAAGTGTTTTATTTTATAAAAGGAAATTTGGCGTTATTCAAACATAAAATGTTGCACATATCCACTACGGGGTATTGATACAATAGCAGATGGTGGACATATAGGTTTGTTGATTTTCCTTTTTTTTGTTTTGTTTTAAATACTTATTTAATTGTCATCTGTATTCAAGATTGGAATTCTTCATTGATGTCAATTGTTAGTGGTAAAACTGAAAATCATTTAGATATGCTTGATAATATGCTTATTGAACGTTTATTAAATGATAAATGGTCAACATTTGCTCGAGTAAATTAAATTAAAAAACAAAAGAAAATTCATTTCAATAAAATATTTTTTTTTTATTTTTTTTTAATTTAAGGTTCATTTTGTTCGACAACTAGTATTACTTTGTACTCATTTATTTTTTTTAAGTACAGCAATATTTTTACGTAATCCAAAAGATGATCAATCATTGGTTAAAAAAATTTTTTGTCATATTGCTGAAGTATGTGTATTAGGTGGTTGTATTATTAGTATATTTGCACTATTAGCAAAAGAAATTTATTTACAAGGTTTTAATTCTTATTTACAAAATCTAGTAAATAAAATAAAAATAGTTCTTTTTGGTTTTTATTAAATAACATTTTTCTTTGTTTATTGTTTTAGAAAAGTTATCCAGAAAAATTACTTTATCAATGTTCATGTATTCTTATTGTTCTAGCTGTCCCATTTCGTATACTTTATTTAATAACAAAAAATATTACATTTGGTTATGTTGAAGATGGCCTTGTATCACTTGCTGTGCCTGGGACATTTTTATATTTTCTTTTTTTCGGACGAATTTATGCCTTAACTGGTGCGTTTATTGTTATGATATTTGAAATGATTACAGGAGATATTGCAACATTCGGCGTTATTTATGTTATCGTTATAACAGCTTTTGGTCAAGGTAAAGAAATAAAAAAAATGATTTAGTTTTTTCTACTAGCCATCATAAATAAATCACTTTGGTATATCATGATATACATTCTAGAGAATTTATGAAATACGATTTCGTTTAATATTCTACGACTCTTGGCTTGACTGAGTTCATGAGATGAACTTGTTTCTTTTTTTGAATGATATTTGAACATAAATTCAATATGAATATATAGCCTTTCGACGTAAAAATCTATTCTTTAATTTGCTCTCAGTTAGACATGCAACAATACTCACCGACAATCAATGTTTTTTTTTACTCTGAAAATGATCATTGATAGGATGTTACTTTTATTCAGTTTCGATCAAAGACATATGTCTTTGATTGTGACAACAAAAGTTTCATTTATTATCTCTAAGCATCATTCGATGTTATAAAATACTTATAGAAGAAGAAGAAGAAAAATAACCTTCCTCTAACACATGTTACAGATCAAAACTGAAGGTCAAGTGCCATCATATAATACATTAAGATATAACTTCTGCAATTTGAGACTGATTATCTGATTAAATTGACAGTAATTCTGGGGAAAAGATAGAAAAGTCAATGATTTCATTTCTTTTTAGTTTTTTATCTACTCTTTCGAGATACAACCGAAGGTGGTTATTGTGAACGAGCAGCACCTAATGACACATGTGGAGTGGATAATATGTGTTCATTTAAAAATTTTGAAGCTTGGATGACAATGGTTCATTTTACAATGGGAGAGTTTGATGTATGTATGAAGTTTTTATAAGAAAATTTCAATTTGTTTATTGTTTTCATCTTTAGTTTTCTCGTTTTGATTTAACACATTATTCATATTTAGTTAAAATTTTATTTATTGTTTTCATGATTTTAACACCTATACTATTATTAAATATGTTAATTGCTTCAATGGGTAATACATATCAACGTATTATAACAATTAGTGAAAAAGAACGTATTCGGCAGGTTTAAAAAATTATTTTTGATTATTTTTAGATTCTTGTTTTTTCTGTTTTTTGTTATTTTACAGTGGGCTCAACTTGTCTTAACTATTGAAAGATCTTGTTCGGCAAAACAACGATTTGATTTTCAAGGTGTATATGCTATCGGTGCTGATGATAAACGAGATATAATGGTTATTAAAAGAGTTACAAAAAGTAAAGCAGCTCAACGAAAAGGAGCAATTAGTAATTGGAAGGTAAAATGAAAAATTCTCTTTTTTTCATTTATTTATAAAACATATTTTCTAAATATAGCGAGTAGGAAAACTTGTTCTATATTTATTAAAAGAACAACAAACAACAGCTGAATATGTTCGTCTTCGACGTGTATCTCATCAATCGGTTGTTCTTAAACCTAAAGCACAATTTGATCATATGCTAGAAACTCTTGCTTGGGAACGTGATATTGATTTATTAGGACCAAAAGCTTTATCAGCATCAAATCAAAATCTTAATTTAGCTGCAACACAAAATGCAGCTGATTTAATTTCAATAGATTCTCGTCCATCATCACCACCACCACCACAATTTGTAACTAATGAATATCCAGCACCATCATCAATTCCACAACGATTAACTGGTAATCGTAAACCACTTCGTCGTTCTGAATTATCTGAACTTCGTTCTCGACCATCATTTGTTGATTATGAAGATTTAGAAATATTTCATCGTAAACGACCATTAACAAGAGCACAACAACCAATACGAAGAGTTTCAATGATGCCCGTTGATGCTGATGGTTATAAAGATTTACTTTTAGATTTTGATAATAAACGAAAACAATCAAATCAATTTATATCTCGTGGTACATCCAATACAAGTATTAAATCAAAAATAAGTGAAACAACACTTTGCTAGGTTTCAATTACAAGTTTTATTAAATGTACAACTGTACAAAAAAAAACGCCTTTTTTTCTATTCTTTCATTTTTTTTGTTGATGATGATGATGATTGATTAGTACCCTTGAAACCTTGTACATAACCTGTAGATTCAATTTCGTCTGAACGACCTTCTTTGCCTTTTCCATAGCCTTCTTCATCAAAACGTTCTTTGTGTGTGCCTCTAAAAATAAAAAATTCATTTTTTGTATTGTATTAACGGAAAAAAGTTCTTAATTTTTAATATGTTTACGTATAATGTGTTGTATTCGTCATTCGATCAGTTATTTCTTTATTTGCTATTTCAGTAACATGATTAAGACTAGGACCTTCATTTGCATTAATTTTAGCTAAAATTTCATCGTGACTAACACCTTTAGATTCAGCAATACGATCAATTAATGCTTTGAAACCTTTAATTTCAAATGTTTTTCTAAAAACAAAAGAATAAAAAACAAAAACAGATGAGAATATGTTTTTGATTGTACTTACGTTCCTTTTGGATAATGAATTGAGTTAGTTTCATTCGAACCTATTGTCAATTTTCCAAGAACACGTGCAATATCGTTATCTAATAATTGTGATGTATACTTCGTATCAATTAATGAACAATCTTTCATCATTTTTTGAATACCAGCTGAACCAATTCGAAGTCCATGATGATCAGTTAATTGTGCTTGAGTTTTACCAAATTTAGAATATTTATCAAAAGCTTTTTGTAAACCCGACGATACTGATGACTTTTCAGACATTATGAACTATATATCGATGCTGTTATGTAGTAATGGGGATGAATAGACTAAGTCACGCGCTGTCGTTGCTCTTTATAGAATCGGAATAGTCGTTTCTTTTTCTTCTCCTGCACGATCAGACAAGGGAAAAAAATCGTTGTTCGCTCATGTCAAGGTCCTAGTTCAGTCTTTTTTTCTATCGTTCTCTATCTGTGACTAAAGATGTAAGAACATCAGAAAAAAGGAAAAAATATATGTATAAAGTTCTACATCTAACATGCAAAGTTCATTCACCACATATTTCATGAACGCTCATGGGAGAAGAAATCAATACGTTTTCTCTTTTCATAATTAAATTATAAGTATTGTTGTGTTTATGAGAATTTTTTCTTCTTTATTCACACGTCTTTTTTTAATTAAAATATTTGAGTGAAATAATTGTTGATCTAGACAAGAACAATAGCATACTTGCAATGAATTATAATGATTGATATTGATTAAGAAAACAATAAAACATAGAATACAAAACGTCAATGGGTCTTAATGATGAAGAGACCTATGATTCTAGAATTTTAAAATGTCATAGATAGCAAGAACATTCTGGAACTAAACTAGTTCTGATATCAAAGTTTGAGCAATTATTAATAACAAATTTGTAGTTAGGATAAAAGTGATCTTATCCTTAGAAATTTCAACACTATATTTTTACTTAACGCTAGTTTTTAGTTGATTGCGTTTCAAAAGTTTTGACATCGCAAATAACTTACACAATATTCTCCATTTCTTCAAATTAACGTCAAACAACATGAATTGCTCCTATCTCATTTCGTGATAAAGAAACGCAATGCAACGCGAGAATTAAACGAGCAAACTCTTGATTTCAACGAATACAGGTTAAATCAATATTTGAAAAGATTTCAAAATTTTGTTTCTTATTCAATGAAAAGGTTTATAAATTTAAAAACTTAATTATTTACAAAATCAATTTGTTAGCTATGAAGAAAAACATAGACAAAACAACAAATATTTTTTCTTAAAAGATCTAAATAAAACCTATTCAAAATAGCAATGACATATCACGGGGAACACATAACGAATAAGCCACTATTGTTCCAGTATTTTCAAGGTTTTCGAATAGTCATACGAAAAACCTTTGAGAGAAAGTTTTGTCTAAGTGAATACGAATTGTTTAATCAAAAGACATCGTGATTTCATATATGAAGAACGAATAAAACCAAAGAAGATAAGCTGGCAAAAATGAATTAATCAAATAAATTTCATTTTTCATTGAGTTGGCCATGGCTTCATAGACTTTTGAATAAAGTATTACAAATATTTAATTTTTATTTAAAATAAGATCATCATTTACTTTAAATTTTAAGAGACTAAGAGAGTTAGATATATCCGTAAAAGTCGTTGTTGTTTCAAAACTTCTCTATTTACTCTCAGCTACTTTTTCTAAACTCTCAGAAAATGATGTGTTATGTTTAAGAACGACAAGCAGAATAGAAAAATAATTATTTAAGGGAACTTGCAATTCAGAAAGTTTGAAAACGCTCGCTGGGTATACATAATTCCAAGTCTCTGAACATGCATTTAGAGGTTCATTTGTAAATTCTTTTGGTTTTGTATCTGAAAGAGATGAGATCAAGAGCCATATTTCATTAGAAACACTGAGTGTCGGATTGTAAAAGTACCCATTTCGGCAAATTTTTTGAATCTTGTTTTGCGATTCAGAAAGTTGAATTGTTCTCATTTGGTGTGGAAATTCAGCAAAAAGATATCAAAAAATGCACCTGTTCGATTATCATGACTCGATGGCACAGCAAAATAGGTTTGATACAGGGATTTAACATTAAAAATTGTACTGAATGATATATACTTTACAAATTTTTTTTCTTAAAAGAAAAACGTGCTCCTACAAGACAAGAAGAACATTTTAGAAAAATGCGGTTGTCATAGATCATAGCCGTATTTTTCGCAGAAAACAGTTCCTTGTAAAATAATTGTGAATCCATCGAACTTTGGACACTGATTTCCACTATCATACTTATTTTAATTTATAATTAGTACATGATAATCGAAACTGCTGAATACAAGAATATTCTTTTTTTCTCTTTTCATTGATTTTGACACTACTATATGAGATAAAAATTCACTAATCTCAACTGAAAAACAAAATTAAAAAAAACGAAATAGACATTTTTATAGCTCAAGATCCCGTGATTTTAAATGAGATAAGTCACAAATGTGAAAGATTTGCAAAAGTTCCTCTAAATACTTCCTCAGATACGGTTGAAAACTATCTTTACCCAATAAACTTTTTAAAACTCTCTTAACAACAAATTCATTCAAATAATAATTTTCTACTCTGGTTTTCACACTCAATTAGAATAGAATATTTTCAGAAAGTTAAGAGAAAATGTATGAGAGAACATAGAAAAGCTTTGAAAAAAGTAACAGTTTTCTACTGATATATCTGATTTCTTTGCCTTTTGAAATTTCAAGTAAACGATAATCTCATTGAAATAAAAATTAGATATTTGTAACCGTCTATTAAAAAATCTTCAAAGACATTGATAACCAAATGGAAAATGAAATACACTCAATTTGTACATTAATGATACTTTACAAACATTGTTCTAGTTCCTGGCCATAATGGGTCATGGAAAAGTAATTAAACAAAATGTTCATTCATCTTTTAATTTTTTAAAGAGTTATGAGTCGAAGTTTTTAAAGGTTCGTAAATGAAAGAGCAAATATTTCTTAATAAAACTGTATATTGATGATTAGTTGGCTCTAAGTTCTTTGCTAATAGTCGGTGTCTTGGTAAAAGACACTGTGTCAATTGAGACGGGTTTCTTGATTTTGTATGTGCAAGAAACTAGAAAAATGAGCTCGACCATTCCTGAGTGATTGTTCTGAAACTTTTAATTCTTATATCACTTTGTAGAGAATAGTATTACTTTTAATTCTATGCAAAAGAAATCGGTAATATAACCTATACAGTCAAAGAGACTATAAAAGCAACAAAAAAAAGTCAATTTTCTCCGTCCAAACTTCATTTACGGACCTTTAAAATGTCCACTAATAACTCATTAATTAGGAGGCCTACAAAATTTTCAACCTCATATTCGCAAAAAGACACTAATCCAATATTTTCAAATTTTTGCAGACTCCTTAAAAAGACTGAAGCATAAATGAACATCTTGTCTAATTACTTTTCGATCAATTGTTATCGTTTCTAATGTTTCTTACTCTGATTATCGTTATTTAAAAATAAAACTGTTCTTTTTCTCGTTGTTCAGCTTGAATTCATTTATGTTACACAGTTCGCACTATCTAATAACTACAATGAAGTACGACTTTAGCTCTTAGTAAATTCATCAGTAATGAAAAATAATTCTATCGAATAATAAGATTTTGATGGATATTCATTGTCTAATATCTTTTTTCTTCTCCATCTAGAAAACCATCATCTTATTAGTTGTTATTCGAACCTGAATATTGATGCAGTTCGTTTTATCTTATGTTTGCCCTGCAATATCATATTTCAAACGATACATTACATACTTAAAAATTGTTTGGCTAGTTGACATATTGATATCTTATTCTGATGAAATAAATACTTTTCTTGCAATTCAAATAGAGCTAAAACGATTGATTTTATATGCAATAATGATTATATCTTTTCTACAAATGTGTTAAATAATCCAACGAATTGAAAGGAATATTGCATATAATTTATATTGTTTTATTTTTAGATTGATGAGTAGAAGAATAGTAATAGATTCAATGATTGAACATCTTTTATTTGTGATAATTGATTGCTTTCATGAATGAAAAGAGAAATTAGATATTTTTAATTTTTTCCGTTAATCGAACATGAAAATAATCGAGAAATCCATTGAGAAATCGAACGTTCATTTGTTTTCTTTTTGTTCTATTCATGAATTTTTTATTGTTTGTCAAATCCAATCGAATGGTACATCATTTTTTTTATTTTTAATCGAAACGTTTAGCATTCACATTGACACCCACACCTAGAAGTATTTCTACATTATTGGAAAAAAAACTATTTCCTTTTATCTTGTTATTCATCACGATTATGTCGCATATAACTTCTTCACCGATGGCAATATTTCGATTTGAATTCCATATTTTATTACTTGTCTGTTGTGTTGTTGCTATAGTAAGTTATAGTAAAGAATTATTTAGAAGATTTTCTATTTTATTTATAGACATCATATAAAATCGATCATCATCTATATGACGATAGAAATGAACGGGCTGTAACTGAATGGCGTTTTCGACGTAATTTTTTACAATTATTACCTTTTTTTGATGCAAATTATGCGGTAGTTTGTTAATATTTGTCTTTCAATTCTTATTACTTTTTATTTTTTTTCCCTTTTATTAAGAATGACGATTTGGTTGAAAAAGACATGATGGATAATGATGATGAATATGAAATTAAAGCAGATGACAAGAAATATCTTCCTAATTTATCATATGATCGAATTATTGAATGAACATATGTTTGATTTAGAGCTTTAAAAATAAATCAAAATAAACAGAAGAAATATATTTATTTTACTCTTGAAAGAGCTTTCTTGCATTAGTAATAAGACGATATAAAATAAAAAGAATGCATTGAAAAAGTACAATATTTTGTTAAGAACAGAAGAAACCTCTCTAGTATATACTACTGAATAATCGATTTTCATTTTATTTACTTTTATTTTCTAGTCAAGGTTATCATATTATTGAACTTGTATGAAGAGAAACTTCGTACGATATACAGGATTCAATAGAGAGAATTAATCATTTAAAAAGTTTACATTGATGAATTCTTTTTCGTTTAATTTTTTACAATGCAAAAAAAAGTGCAATAGTCTTTATCTGTTGTCATAAACATGTCATAGCGTTTCATTTTTGTTACAGGTGTACGGTATCGATTTGACAAATAACGGACATGAGGCATGGCTAAATTAGAGTTTCTTTTTGATAAATTTAATTCAAGATTTTAGAGTTAACGATAGAAAAACAGTTCTGATAAAACTAAACAAAAAGAAACTTATCGTATTCCAATGAGATTCAGTTACAAATACGCATAAAACTACAACATAAGAATCCTATAATCATCTTTGTCGTAAATTCTTGTAATAGATACTAATCATGAAACTGGGATATACCGTACTTAAGGAACATTAGGTAAATTACTTTGTAGCAAAAATTTCACTATATGTTGATACGGATATATTAACTAATTGTAATATTTGTTTCTATTCTACGAGGAATTCTAGCACAAAAATAGAATAGGAATAGCAATTTTCATAAAATGTAAATGCAACATAACAAATAGAAAGTATAGATGAATGTCGAGTAAACGATCAAAGACTAGAGTATGAAGATTATTTTCAAATAGACTTTTGTATTAAAAGAACAATTAAATAAATTAGTTCTCTTATATAAATATCGATAGATGACATAACAATTTGATTTAATTAATCGAATTTTATTTACTATTGTTTCTAGATCATTTCCCGGATGAGTAATATACTTTAATTGATATAATCTATATACCCTTGTCGTTCCGTAAATATACATTAGGATAACGCTTACAATAGTTATAATGTTCTTTCTTTTTTGACATAAACATTACATTAGGAAAAAAATTCTCTTTTATCGCAATCCTTTAATCATCTATAATGGATTTTTTTAATGGCTGTTGGAAAGAAACAAAAAAGAACAGATAAATGAAATGAAACTTGATATGGGCACTAATACAAAGGTCGATGGCAAAGGAAATGTAATCATTGCCTTTACGATTATCTATCATGAAAATGGTAAATGCAAAAATGTGACAACAACTATGCTATATTAATATTTCAACATATAACATAGATCTCACAGAATAAACTCGAATTTTTACCATGGAATTCCGCTTGTTTATTGAATGGATTTTATATATACAGATTTATATCACATTTCGGATTTGCGATCCTTATTAGTATTACTAGTTCTCATGGTCGAGACGGAGTATTAGTTGTTGATTCAGCTTTAGACGTGTGACTGATATATATATATTCTTTCCATTTAGTTTGTTTTCCTTCTCTCTCCTTGAATTTGCTTACCCGATTCTCCATTCTCTTTTTATATTCATCCGCAATAATTACAACAAAAACAAGAGAACGACAACATTGCTGACGAGAAGGAGAGCGAAGAGTAATAGAACGCGCACACTGCTGTATGCATTTTCTATATAGGCGAGTGCTCTCCTTGTCGACATCGACGTGGCGACCATCTCACAAACTAAATCCGATCAACATCATTATTTACCTCATTCAAACAAATTGATTGAAAAAGAAACGTAGAAGCAACGATAAAAAGAAACAGAAAAAGTGAAGTATAACTTCAAAAGCAAAAGACGGTGCTCCATCATTTCGAATCTTCCTGGTGGCTTATGGCCGATAGAGATGATGATGATGATGATGATTCAAATTATATGAATGAAGAAGATGATGACAATCATGACTCTTCACCACCAGCTAAACGCATTAAATTAGGTAAGAGTTTTCTTTCTAGATTAAAAGACAACAGATTGATTAGATCAATCAACAATATAAGATTTGACAGATATAGATATAAAGATGTGGCTCCCTCTGTCTAGACCCTGTTGATGATAGTCTGTATGTTTATCAAAGAGAAACGGAGACGCGTGCGTTTCTTAGCTGCATCATCCTCACTGACATTTTTATATCCGGATTTGAGCATTGCATGCATGCGTGCATGCCTATGGATGACTGATTCTTTTCCTCGATGTTTGTTCTTTTGTTCTTTCATTTTTTTTTGCTCTCTGCAGTTTTTTATTCATTCATTTGCTTGCTTGAAAGAAGATTTTCAAATAGAATATGTCAGCATATATCCATAGTTTCACTCATATTAATTAATAATCTTAATTAATATTAAATAAATATAAAATTAGAAAAACATGTTTTTCTTTTTCAATCATGCCTTAATTATAGTATAAAGAGCATTATCTGCTTATTTCTATTTTATAATCTATTGAAATACTTCATGACATCTATGATTTACGCTTGTAGTAAAAACGTTCTTAATCTTTTTATGCAATAAATTTCGATGTTTTTTTAAATGAACGATTACACTCATGTGTGAAATGTAAACTACTAGATGAAGGACAAGAAAGAAACCTTTTATCGTTTATTGAAGGATTTAATATTTTTCTTATGGGCGTAGATATGTAAAAATGTTTGAGAGAGAGAATCCAGTTAAAAGACTATTAATGCTTGATTCATCATCAAGTATACACTTGAAAGACATTTATTAATTTTTGTAGTATGTTTTTCGATTAAAATTTAGTTCGCCCTGCTTTTTTTTTACATTGATATCAATCGAAAGATCAATTGTTCATGTTTTGTATGTCTGTTGTTGTCATATACTACTCAACAGTTAATTTGATTGTTATGAACGGGAACTTTCGTCGGTTGATTTTCCGATTCTATCGATCGACAATTACTTATTATTTCTATACGAACTTTCCTTTTTTTCTTGCTTCCATCGTGATTTCTTTTCATTTAATTTGATTATTCGAAGAATCTTATCGTTCATAGGTCATATCTATTTATAGATATGAGAACGGAACAAGGTAGAATGTGTTGCGTCTCTGATAATATTAGTTGATTAATGATCTTATGCTTTTTCTGTTGTTGAATATTATAAAATACTCGAGCTGTTAATTATGAAGTTATTTTTGCATATTATCGTTAAAGAAAATTCTTTCATGTAATGAAATATTATTACGAGAATTGAAGTTGTTTTTGTCGTTATTTTCTATTTTATTGGAATGGTTTCTTTATAATTGCATTTGTGTATTTGGGTATGTTGAGATGAAAATAATTCTATTCGGTTGAACGGATAACACCTTGTTGTTGTCAAGCTTTTTTAATTGATTTAAGATGAAATAGATTGAACAGAGAAAACAGATTCACCTTTTTTTTTTCTACCAAACGTTGCAATTGAGACTTTTTTCTTCCAACAAAATCTTTAAGACCATTCAAGAATTTCTGTGCTCATCCTCAATCATAATTTGTAAAGCTTCTTCTGCTCGGTCGCATTAAGCAATAGTATGTAGGAACAGCATGATGCGTGTTTCTCTTCTCATTCTCTTTTACCAACGGGTCGCGTCAAGGAGAAGAGAAAGAGAAGAACGGAAACAAGAGATTGTTATGGTAGTAGTGTTACTTTTTTTTCTTCTTCCTTCTTTCTCCGCTTCGATTACTCGTCTTGGGGCTAGCAAGTTTGAGAGTGCGCCAACGACTATTGCTCCATCTCTTTCTCGTGGTGTTGGTTTGTAAGCGAAACAAACCGTTCTCGCGCCTCACCCGCACTATCGATCGTCTACATACAATTCTTTACCAGTTGCTTACGCCTTCTAATAAAGACGCTCGTTCTTCTATTTCTTCTTCTACCATCATCATCATCACCATCATCATCATCGTCATCATCATCATCATTGTTGTTTCAATCGTTCGGTCGTCATTATTGCCCGTATATTTATTTTGGTTTTTATTGTCGTTCGTAGTCCGCATGTTTTTGTTTTTATTGTTGCTTTCACTTCAAGACGAGCAGTTCGGTCGATCATGACATATGTCGCAATTCGTCATTTTTACCTTGTCGAGCTTTTTCTTCGTCATTTCTTTTTTGTGATATTCATCAATAACACCATTTACAACAGCAATCATCATGAATTTAATCAAATGCTGTACCTCAGCACACTCTTCATCCGATCGTCCGAGACTTTCGAAAAAGAAAACATCATTGACAAAAAAAGCCGGTATGGTTTTAAGACTTTTTCTTTTACATCCAATAGACAACTAGATATTCTAAAAACATTGCAAACGTGAATGTACTAGCGCATATACACATATGCATACATAGATGAGAATAGAAAAAAGCTTGTGCGTGTATTTGCTTCTCACGAAACTAATTGAAGTGGTGAGAAGGTGATGCATATGTGTTTGTAATCGATGTGCATGTGTATGCGCATGTGCGTGTGTTCTTTTTCTTTTTTGTACGATGACATAGAATGAAACAAAACAAGTCATCGCTACTACGACTTCTCATATACATTAATGATTAGCTATGTGAAAGCATACAGGAAATAATGAGAGATGCTTCTCATATTGTCAAGCATGTATTAAAAATAGGAAAAAAAGGAAGTCAAGAGAAAATGAGAAAATCATCCTTGTAATATGATATGACATAAAAAAATAGAAAAAAAAGGAATAGGAATAAGAAAAGTTATTAGGAGAAAATCCAAATCTTTTAAGTGGATATAAATAAATTTCTAATCGAATAGTCTTTTTCTATACATTTAATTAACTTCTCATAGAAATTAATAGATAACTTATTGATTAATATTAAATTGAATTATTTTCTTAATTATAGCTAATTCTGAACAAACATCATCTACATTAACAGCCGATTCAGTTAAAGTTTATCTCGGTGAACATCCAGAATTTCTTGATTCATATATACAACAAAATGTTCAAACAAATACAATTGAACAATGGATATCAAAAAAGCCTCAAAAGACATCTTCATTAATAAGTCCGTCATCGTCAACATCAATACCAATTACTTCATCAGATAAAAATTGTATTTCAACATCAATAATAAAAAATGATGGTAAAAAACATTGAATTTCTAGCATTTGTTTTTAATCATTAAATATTTATATGAGTTGGTAGATGATTTATGATCGTATTTGTTGAATTTTATGACTGAATATATGTCTTTCTTTTTTTTTGTCTTATTATACTTAGATGTTAAAAGAAAAACTTCATCACAATCTTCCAAACAAATATCAACAACAACATCAAAATCAATGAATACGGTAGGACGATCTTTTGGAAGTAAAAACAAATTTTTTTAAATCTAATATATGTAAATATAGTTAGTTGAATTAAGCGATAAACGCCGTTTACTACATGAACTTACAGATGAAGTTAATCAAAATGTAAGCAAAGCTCAAATTTTATATGAACTTAGTAAATCAATTGGATCAAGTAAATTAATATTACTGTTTATTTTTCATAAATAAATTTTATTTTGTTTTTTTTTAATTTAGCTGTATCAGCTGATGGATTTAATCTATATTTGGTTGATGAAACAGGCACTAGTTTGCGATTGTTTAGTGCTGATAATGATGAGTAAGTAAATAATTAAACAATAGAAGACATCTGTTCGATACTAAACATAGATATGAATTATAAGCTTGACAGAACGAGTTAGAAAATCGAACAGACCTTATTTTTTTAATATCTAGTATGCCTATGATAAGCTATGAACCTCTTCAGCCAGTCTCTCACTGTCATCCGTTTCCGTCGGTTAGGTCTGCCTCTCGTGGCCTATGTATATTTCTCCATCCTAATATAATGATGATAATTGAATAGAAGCCGAAGACTATCTCTAGAAGAAGGCAAGAAAGTCATATATGGTAAGACGACATAATTGTATAAAACATTGATTTAATACAGCAAGTATCTATTGAGAATAAACAAAAATGAAAGAAACATCAATATGTAGTAAGAAAAAAATTTCTATTTTTCCAGTAAAAGTATTTCCAATACAGCTGATGAACTAGTTAAAGAAGACATCAAGTTTTCTCATATTCCTATCAGATAAATATCAATCAAGAAACAATAAAAATTAGTAAACGATTCATTGGAGATAATAAAAATAACTGATTAGGAAATCCGAATATTAACTTATTGAAATGAAAGATGAACAATGTAATCAAAATCTATTATTATTCATGATTGTGTTTAGTCAAAATGATACTAAAAAAAAGTCGTTCTCATTTTCCAAGCGATAAAAATAACTCCAGCTTATATTTTGATATGTGAATTCTGTATTCAAAAAACAACTGCATTTTATATTGAAAAGCCAATCCAGCAAGCAGACTTCATAAACTATTTGAATTTCTGCTATAAGCATCTTAATTTTGCACGATACTACTAAGACTCAATAAGCTTTTTCCTATTGTATATGATTAAAATTATTCTATTTGACTTTAAAAAATTTCCCGGCTTAAATGGCATGCAAAACTTTATGTTGAGAAAAATTGGTAGAGAAAAAGCAATTCGACTGAGAAATATTTCTTTGAATAATGAAATGTGAGAGTATCAGCTCATATGCGAGTATAAACATGTTTTTTGTGTTAAACATGTAGCCCATCACTTTTTTTCGAGAAGAGTCATTCTCAAAAAAATAAACGTTACTCTTTTTTCTCTTGTTAAAATCATTCAATATGCACACTATCTAGATTTCAAAATCTCACACACAAGGAGATAAGTCTTCGATTTCTTTTATCTCTGTGTAACACTGTATTATTAACCGTTGAAGTTTATATCAATATAATTACTGATAAAGAAAAAAATAGAAAATAGCATAATGTATTCTAGTGAACAAGCAGCATGTTTTATTCCTATTCAAATTGGACCTGGTCATTGTCTTGCTGGTTATGTCGCTTGGTCTAAAGAAACCGTACGGATTAATAATATGGGAACGGTAAGCTAAATGCCAATGTTTGCTTATTTTGCTTGTTGTATTTTTAAAAAAAGCTTGATATGGAAAAATATCCTGATGGTCTTTATGTGAAAGATGATAAAGTAACTGCAGTTATGGCACATCCTATAATTAATACATCTGGTACTCTACTTGGTATGAATATGATTTCATTTTTTTCTAAAATCTTCTTAATAAATTTATAAATAGGTACCGTTGAATTTTATCGTATTAATAGTACAATACCATTTACTGATGACGATGAAGATGTAAGTTATTATTGTTGAATTAACCTATAGAAGAATGTGTTTTTTTTTGTGTTTGTATGATTATATAATATGGTTCTAGAGAATAATTATAGTCTCTATAGAATAAAGAATATTTGTCTTTTGTGTTTTGTGATAAAACAAATATACTAGCTTTATATATTAGTTCTTTTTTTTTTGTTTATAGTAAAATTCTTCTTATATACTTATTTTCTCTTTTACTTCAGGAAACTCTAAAATGCGTGAATGAGCTTTTCACCCAAACATATTACGAGGTATTACATATCCTAATTAATTATCTCTATTTAATTTTTAAACTCAAATTTTTTTAATGTCTGTGTGTATATGTATACCGATTTCGGTTTTTTTGATTTGCATACGCTGCTTGATTATTCATCCTTTTTTTTTCTTTTTCTACCTTTACGCTTTGGAAATTCATTGAGAAAAAAACGAAGTTAGCTATCGCTGATTATTTTATATTTTTGACGATAAAGTTTTGTTTTCTACTTTTAGCTTTATCATTCAATGACACGTGAACGACGTTTAAATGATTTTCTATTGGCTGTGACTAAATCAATTTTTCAAGAACTTGTTAGTATGGATGCCGTTATGCTTAAGATAATGAGTTATGCAAAAAAGTTGGTTAATGCTGATCGTGCTTCTTTATTTATGGCTGATTCTCGTACAAGCGAGCTTTATGCGCGAATATTTGATATAGGACGTGAAGAACATGATATACTTGAAGTATCGCTTGTTAATGATCAAAATGGGCGACCACACAAACATTCATCATCTGATGAACATGCTTGTATACGTTTCCCAATGGATAAAGGTATTGCTGGTTATGTAGCAACAACTGGAAAAACTTTGAATATTATTGATGCTTATAGTGATGAACGATTTAATCGGTAGGAAGTTACATAGATATATACATACTATTAATTGAAAATATTAATTTTGTTTTTCTCATAGAGATATTGATCAAAAAACAGGTTATAAAACTAAAACACTTTTATGTATGCCAATCATGATTCAAGGAAATGTTATTGGTGTTGTTCAAATGGTAAATAAAAAGAATGGACATTTTACAAAAAGTGATGAAGAATCATTTGAAACATTTGCTGTTTATTGTGGACTGGGTATGTCTAAATTTAAGAGGCATTTGACTTTTTCAATTTTCGATGTGTTTAATTATTAATTTTGAATAGAAATAACTTTGATTAAATTAACAAATGAGCATAAAATTATTAATATTTGAAAGACTTTTGAAATAGAAACTAGCTGCTCGTGCAATTGAAAAGATCTATTTAAACAAAAAAAGAAACACGTCAGTCTCAATAGATTCAACTATACGTAATTTTTGACAAAGCAAGAACAAAATCGAATAATCTCTAGAGATCTTCGTTAACTTTCGTATAATGAGTTATGAGATAGCTTATATATAAGAATTATAAATTACTAATTGGTTTGAAAACAATAGAAAGAAAAATAACTCGAGGGAAATATGTCACTGAGAATAAATGAATAACTATTCTACCATTTAAGAATATGTTATATGAATTAATTAAAATTCAATTTTTTTGTTTTCATGTGTTTTTAAGCTTTACATCATGCATCACTTTATGATCGTATACGTCGTTCCGAACAAAAATGTAAAGTCGCTCTTGAAGTCTTATCATATCATGCATCATGTACTGATGAAGAATATGAACGTTATAAAACACATGAACTTCCAAGCAACATTCCAAGTCTTAGACAATTTGAATTTTCTCCATGGAGTGTTGCTAATGATATGAAACCTATTTATGTTCTTTACATGTTTCGTGATTTGGCTACTATGAATTCATTGAATGTAAATAGGTATACAGTTAAGAATTTTATTTATTGAATCGATTTATGTTTTTTTTTCTTATAGATTTGATATGGAATGCGTAGTAAGATTTATATTAACTGTACGAAAAAATTATCGTAATGTTCCTTATCATAATTGGTCACATGCATTCAGTGTTGCACATGCAATTTACACTGTAATAAAAGAGACTAAACATCAATTTACACCAAATCAGGTTTGTAAAAAGAAACATATAATTAACAGAAAAAATGTAAAAATTAAACTCCAATATCCTACAAATATTTTAAATAATAATTTCTTCTATTGTTATTATTTATTGGATGATTTCGAGGAAGATTTCGTCAATGATACAACGATTTTAAAATCAATTTTATCTTATTAAATAGATCCTATTGAGAGTAGAAAAAGTCTAAAAGGATTTTAATTCATGAATCATTCTTCTTGACGTTTAACTATTTTCATCATATTCTTCAACAGAATATCTTTCGAGGGAAGCCTCCCAACTGATGCATCACTTTTTAGTCGAGACTACATGCGTTATGTAGAATCAAATGAGCTATGAATATCCTGAAAAGAATTCATGCTCTTACCTTATTGCTGTGAAAATACTGCGCGTTTATAGCATTTCTTAAGTAAAAGCTGTGATTCCCCTCAGGAACAACAGAAAAAATGATCTTTCAATTGGCGACTTGAAATTTTTGCATAGAGACAGGCCTTCACGAGAATAGTTTCTTGTGAAACATTTCAGATCTTTTTGTTATTCTTATCCTAAGATATAGCTATGATACAAGCGTATCTTCTCTAATCGCATGCTTGTTTGTGCTACCAGTGGTGATGCTTACGACTGATGAGTGTTTTCTACCTAAATTCGAATTATTTATTAGAAATAATACAAATCAATCAACAACAAAGCAGTTTCTTAATATATTATACTGATAAAAAGTTTTGCAGCACCATGTATAATAAAAATTTATCTCAGAATTGAGGCCAATTTAGGCTCTGTGGCTAGTACAGTCAACTCAGACGCATCAATACTAATAGCATACATCGAAAGTGGCTCAATCCTATCAGTATTAACACACTTTAAAAAATCTCCCTTGTTTCGAAACGATAAACCATGACACAACAATTTCAAAAAAGAAACGTTGGTAAACCGCCGGTAATGTCTTGGTAGTTATCACATGGGTTTTACGTCGATCATATACACTAGTGGATTCGACATTCTTCCTTCAATATAGGAGTAAATCAAACGACTAGAAACTTCCATAATTAACTATTCTCGTTAACTCTTGCCTCAATGCAAAGTTTCAATTTGAAACTCGAAAATTAGTTTTCCTTGTGTTTCTTACGGAAGCTACAGCATTCATTTAAAAAATACCCTAAAACCACAGTATATCCGCAGTAATAATCTAAGAGCATGAATTCTTTTCAGGATATTCATACCTCATTTGCATCTATATAATGCACGTAATCTCGACTCAAATGCGATTTATCAGCTGAAAGACATTTCTCATTCGATTCTTCTCAGATTACCATCAAAATCTACTTTCCAATTCTGACTCTACACAAATTAAATTCTGAATAATATTATTTCATTATAAAAGTATCAGATTTTCTCATATCTTCTATCTCAAATTACCAAGATTGAATATTTTGTGCTGAAAATGAGTAAACATAGTTTTTATATTTATGTCTTAGGATAGAATATACCATAAAATATGATATCGGAAAACCTGATACTTACACAATGAAGTTGTCCTATTCTGAACTTGTATTACACAGAGTTACAATTCTAAAGTCGATTTTGAAGGTAATCTGGTAGAAGTCAAGACATTCAGGTGAAAAAATCACGAAAATGAATCATTACTGACGATGAAAGATTCATACCCATGAATCATTGTAGACTATTTTAGTCTCTATAGGACCTTTTTAATTTGATAAAATGTTATTCAAAAACAATTTGTCATTTGGCGAGATTCATCGATTGAAGATATATAATAAAAAACATATTAATATGAATCTAATAATAAAAAGTAGTACATGCTAATTGTGTTTAGTGTATTGCTCTATTTGTTGCTTGTCTTTGTCATGATCTTGATCATCGTGGAAAAACTAATGATTATATGGTAAAAAGTGCCTCCACTCTTGCTTCTATTTATTCAACATCAACTATGGAACGACATCATTTTAATCAAACAGTAACCATACTACAAGTAAAATCATTACTTTTTTTCTAATATTAAAATAATCCATGGTATATTTAGACGGACAGCCATAACATATTTAAACATTTTTCATCAAAAGAATACCGACAAATGTTAGATGAAATTCGTCACTGTATACTAGCAACAGATTTAGTATTATTTTTTGAAAATCGTCCAAAACTTGAACGTGTTGTTGATAATTCTCGATTCGATTGGAACAATAAAGAACATATGTGAGTTGGATATATTATTTTCTATATCCGAAACAATTTGATTCTATATATATAAAGGGTGTCCAAGAAGTTCTGTTACAATTTTGAAATTCATCGTTCTCGCGTTCAACAAAAGGTAAACTTCTTGAAACTTTGGCAGATTATTGTACCTATCAAGTACTACATAACTACAAAGTTTGAGGTCTATAAGTTCTACTCTAACGGAGAACTTGTAACAACAATATGAGGTACTATTTGTAAAATTTTCCTGTATTCCAGGTCTGCCAAAATATCTATATTTCGGCTTAGGGAGATGATAAAATCTTGAATTGTTTTTTAAAAGATGCACTGTGAAAAGCTCTACATAAATTGTAATAACAAATCCTTATTGACTTGTGTTAATGACTTCTGTCATAAACAAAATGAAAAACATGCATGATAGTACTACTTCTCACCATATTGTCCGTAATAAAAAAATGTTTGGAGGATCTTTTTGTTTTGCATGTATTTCAGCTTGAGAAAATGATAAAATCTTGATTTCTTTTTCAAAAGATGCACCGTCGAAAGCTCTACAAAAGCTGTATAAACAAATTCCTATTGGGAAGCAAAAAAGTCTTCCAAACCTTTTCTTATTAAGCACAATATGGTGAGAAGTAGTACTACCGTGGAAATTGTTCATTTTGAGTATGGCAGAAACTATTAACACAAGTCAATAGGTATTTGTTATTGCACTTTTTGTAGAGCTTTTCACAGTGCTTCCTTTAAAGGAAAATTCAAGATTTTATCATTTACCTAAGCTAAGATATAGACGAAATAAAAAAATGTTGCATACCTCGAAGATGACGAGGAAAATTTTAAAAAATACTACATGTCAGTGTTGTTATGGTATCTCATCTATAGTACAACCTATAGATCTCAAACTTTGTAGTTATGTAGTACTTGATAGGTACAATAATCGGCCAAAGTTTCAAGAAGTTTGCCTTTTGTTGAACGTGAGAACGATGAATTTCAAAATTGTAACAGAACGTCTTGGACACCCTTTATATATATAATATCAAGTATTCAAATTTATCATTGCTAATTTCTTTTTTTTTTGCTCTGAAAATTTTCTGCTGCTATAATGATTCTATGTTGGCGATCAGCTATATTAATGTTTTGATTGCTTTGCTCTGATCTCTAGGCAACTCATGATGGGGCTCAGTATGACCGCTGCTGATCTATGCTCTTCATTTAAACAATGGGAAGTACAGCGGTCGAATGTGAGCATCATCATGGAGGAATTCTTTCAACAGGTGATTCGATATGTTTAATTTTTTTCTCTCTCTCTCTTGCTCTTTACATTAAATTTTAAAAGAAAACAGCACTTACTGACCATACTATCATGCTAAAGACAAAAAACAAACACAAAAGTGATTAGTAAAAAATTTCTTATTCTTCAAAACTTAATTTATATTCACACAAAACTTCATCGTATAATGATGTTCATTGTGTGCATTTATGTTTTTCTTGTTTCCAGTCAATGTTTACAATCATTATCAATGACAGCGGTTGATTTATGTGCTATGTATAAACCTTGGCCAGTACAAGAAAATATTGTCAATACAATCATGGACGAGTTTTGGCAAGAGGTGTGCCTTCTTTTTGAAAAAAGAAAGCTTTTTGCTGCTTTCTTCTATTGAATTGGATTTCGATAATAATAAAGAAAGAAAGCAAAAGAGAGAGAGAGAGAAATGTGTTGCAGAGTTCTTTTTTCTAATCTGAAATCTTTTCATACAGGGTGATGAAGAAAAACGACGAGGTATTCAACCACAATCATTAATGGATCGATCATTGGCACATGAATTGCCAAAAAACCAGGTAAAATATATACTAATATTAAAACATAAGAAAATAAAAATCAATTATATCATTTGATTAACATCTATATTCATTGTTAGTAAGATATGCATAGGTATACATAAATCCTTGTTCAACTTGTAATTAGGACTGGAACATACCTAGATGTGCATCATATAAAAGTTGTGGGCACATTCCTTCACTTTTTATCATTTCTGGTTTTTGAAGAGAGTACAACCAATCTGCATTAAATTTTGATCACAGATAGAACATCTTAAATGCGAAGACATGTGTTAAGGTTTGGATTTAAAATCAGAATGGTGGTGTTTAGCACTCTATAAATTCGTATAGAAAGAGCAAAAACGAAAATGATGATTTAGTCTCTGGGAAATGCTTCCATGTATTTGTGATCATAATTTCAACCCAATCGGACAAAGTTAGACGAGGATCGTAAGCAAGCCCGATGTGATCTAATCGAAAACCAGACTTTTCCCATGAAAATTGCAATAACCTTGTTTAAAGTCTTTTTCTTCTCTAGCACGTGTCTTCTTATTTAAGATGTTCTATCTGTAGTAAAAATCTCATGAGGATCTGTTGTAACCTCTTCAAGAACTAGAAATAGGCAAAAAAGGCAATGCGGGAGTGGGGGCGTGGCCTTAATAGAATCTCCTAGTGATTTATTATTATTCTAAAAACTTAATTTTTGTTTTTCCAGGTGAATTTTATTAACAGTATTTGTGTCCCGTGCTATTCATTAATCGTACGTATTCTACCTGAAACAATACCCATGCTTAATGGAGCCAGGTATATAGAAACAAAAAAAAACTCATTTGTTTTTTATATTGCATTAAAAATCAATTTTCTTCAGAAGTAATCTTCAACGATGGCAAGAACTTGCTGATGAGCAACAATCATCTAGAACGTCTTCGACTTCTACAAGTACAAATACATCGAAAGAAATAACCGATTCAACACATACTCATCAGCTAGCATCGTCGTGATATGCTCGTCTCTGTCTCTCTCGTTTTTTCTTTTATTTTTTTTTATGTTATCCGCTCATTGTTTGTGTTTTATTTTTCTTGCTTATTTTTCTTTCTTTTTTTAATGCACAATACAATGATCAACATTTCTAATTGCATCATTCTCCAAAAAGATGAGGATTTATTTCATAGAGACAAATAATGACAATGACAATAAATCTTTGAAAAACACACACAAGTGACTAAATACACATTATATATATATCGCAAATTTAAAAAAAAAAGAAAAGAAAAATGAAGCGGACAATATTTTATTCTATTTCTTTTACATACACAAATAAAAACGTTGTGTTTTCTTTTCATTAAGAATTACTGAAGCAAAGAATAACAACAACAACAGAAACAGGAAAAGAACGAACTCTTCTAAATCAAAATATGATTTGTGTATGCTTGTATGTATGCATTTGTGCAAAAAAAAAATACTATGTGTAATTAGTTGATATATATAGAGAGAAAGAGAGAAATTGAGAAATGACGCTTTGAACACCAACAAAGAAAACACACAAATATATGAAATAAAAACAAAAATGTCTTAAAATCATGAAGATGATGTCGTTGCATCAGGTGAAACAACTGATCCATTATGATCATCATCAAGAATATCAACGTTTGTTGTTGATGGTGGTGTTCGTAAATCAAAAATACCTTTTTCTCGAATAACTCTTAATGCAGCTTGTTCAGCAGCACGTACGACATCTTCACTATGATCAACTAATGATATTATATTTACACCATCCCATTGAACACCACATGAATTAAGCAATTCATGAACCTTAAAAAAAGAAAAGAATTAATTATTTTGTTTTTATGAAAATAAATCTCTCTGTAACAAAAAATGGTAATAAACCGTTGCAAAATTATGTATTCAAAGAAATATTACAATGTTTTGGTACAATTGATATTTAAAACAAAAGCTATAAATAGTTCTTAACAATTTTCGAGTAGGATATTTTATGATATTTTGTGTTTATGTTACATAGAAAAAGTTCTCCAACATGTCATAGAATATTAATTAAAATATATGATTGTACTGAGTGAAGAGTTTCTAGCCATTTTACTTAGTATTATAAGGAGGGTAATCAATCAGAAAGAAAACTCATAATATAAAGATTTGTTTGTTACATTCAGCTGACAAGTGAAATCCTTGAATTGATTAATCATTATTGAGTCAGAGCTAAGTGAATAATGTAGATCTTGATGAGATATAAATATTCTGAGAAGTTTTTGGACTCTTACTTTAATGCTGTAGAGGCACTACATTATTTATAATATTTTTCAAGTCAATTTTTTTGCATCTCTGTCAGAAACATTAGGAAAACTGCTTTATGAATTTCACGGTGAAACTTTGTATAGGAGGCAAACTTCAACGGGAAATAGTATATTGTGAATATTTCAGATCTTTTCGTTCTTCCTATATTAAGATATTGAAATGGTAAAAGAATATCTTTTGCATGACTGATACACATCTGCAGAGTTGATGTTCTTTTTTCCGTATAGGAACAAATCAAAAGACTTGAAATGCTTACAATAAACTGTTCTCATGAAGGTTTATATCTGTACAAAGTGTCAAGTCGAAATTCGAGAATTAGATTTCTTGATGTTCTTGAGGAAGACCGTAGCATTAACTTAATAAATACCGTAAAAATTCAGTACTTTTGCAGCAATAATAAAAAAGCCCAAATTCTTTATAGTATATTGATCGCTCATATACCTGACTCAGAAACTTCTTATGAGTTAAATTGTCTTTGAAAAAAACATTTGAAACTGAAAATAGTTGCCAAAAATTTTTAAAAAATGAGCATAATAGTTTTTCTTTGTCGGAAAGCCGTTTAATACTATTTCTAAAAACAGAAACTCATAAGATAGCTAAATTTTCTCATTCATTTATTATTTAGACAAGTTGTTCTTTTTATTCTATGTCACATATGTTATTTGTTCTATCGTACAGAAGAATTAAAATCAAATTAGTACAAGTCAAAAAAAAGTATGGGTCCTAATGGAAGTAATGAAACCATACATTTTCATACAATATCAAACATTATAAATGCTAGACTATTTATATCTTTTTTCTCGTTCTTAATTATAGCCAATACATGCCCTTTTCTTAACAATATGTCACAAAAGAAATTATGCTTTCTTGTTTGACATATCTCATAACTCATTGATAATGTGAAGTACAGAGCTAAAATTATGTGCGTAAGAGAATGGAAGCAGTTACTGAGAAATAACAATTTGAAGTTGATTGAAATCCGTTAATGAGAACAAAATTTATTGATCCAATGTAACTAAAATCTCACACATGAGGAAAAGCTGTAACACATTTCTACAGATTATAGTTCTTATATATTTAACCAGAGAGCAGTCCATAATTTCTGTGAATGGGAGCGATCATAGTGAAAACCTGTATTGGAGTCATTTTTAGGAGCGATCGGAGCTCTCTTTATTACCTACTAGTAAAATAGGTTGAACACTACAAAGTTTTTTTTTGAATAGTGAGTTAAATTCTTTGATATTCATTGTACAAACTGACGTTTTTTTAAAGATATGGCTCACATCTTCTCAGATTTTACCAAGGCGAAAAAAAGCCAGACATCGAAGAGACACCAATAAAATTTCGAAAACTTCTCACTTTGTAAAGTAAATACTAAAGAATACAACTTACAGTTCAAAGATCTTCTTTTGTTAAATCTGATTGATAAGGCAAACATTTAGTTGACTCCAACACAGATTTCTAGATCATAATCACAAAATGTGCCTTTTAAAGTCAAATTAGAGGGCGTATCAGCTCGTTTTTAGGTGTTTTGTGCTGAGAAAAATACGAAAATAGTCCACTAAGAAGGGCCATCCCTCTCTTCTAAATTCACCATTGTCTTAGAAGGAGTAGAAACTCTCTGATAAGGCTTGTAGAGAGAGCGCTCAAGCTTTTTATTTATTTACGTTACAAATGTCATTTATCACTAGAGAAATCATTTTTTTTTGTTTTCCTTTTTGTTGAAATTTTCCTCTTACATCAGTATCTGTAACAGGTATTTCTTGAGTGCCACCCGATGCTGTTTCAAGTAGCATTCTAACATCAAAAGCATCAGCTTGTTCATCATAATGTATAGCTGGATGTTTTCCTCTATAGAATAAAATTCGCGCTCGTTCATTTGCTTCTCTCCAACTAAGACCACGAGCTATTGAATGTGATGATGTTGTATTATTTAATGTTCGATCACCATTTATTGATGTTGGTAAATAACGTGATGTTTCATCATTTGAAGATTTTGTTACACATACACGTGGTGGTAATGAAACATACATTTCTTTAATAATTAATGCTTAAATAATAAAATAAAAAAAACGAAAAGAATTAAAATTAAATTAAAAACCAAATAATAAAACATACGTTTTCCTTCTAATCTATCTTTCATTAAAGTTTGTACTTCTGGTTTATCAATATCATCAAATTGATTTGTTGCATGTGCTTGTTCAATAATATCAACCATCTGTTCAATTAAATAATCTTGATTATTATTTTTAAAATCTTGTTTTAATTGTTGTTTTAAATCATTATAAGTTTTAAATTGTCCTTGTTTTTGTTGTTCTAAATATGAAAATGTTTTATTAAGATAAATATCTAATTGTTTATTATCATTTGATAATTTATTATGATTAATTAATAAATTTTTTAATGATAATATAATTTTTGATCGATTTGTTTTTAAATTTTGTCTTGCACGTTCACTTAATAAAAATGATAAACGTCGTTTTTCTTCATTAGGAGCTTGTTGTAATAAAAATAAACCATCTTTATGTGATTGTTTTAACAATTCAATTGAACGATTACATAAATCATGTGCTTTAGGATATTCACGTTGTAATTGTAATAATAATTCATCCCATGTTGATATAAGATTAGTTGAAAGTATTTCAAAACTACGTTGTAAAATTTTATTTAATTCTTTAATTTGTTTGCGTGTTAATTTTTTTTCATTTGATTCATTATCAATTAAATATTGTTGTAACCATGATAATTGATTTGATTTTAATAATTTATGTTCTTCAGTTGTTAATAAATTCATTTGATTATTATATAAATTTGCAGTTTGTGATATATTTGAATTTAATATATCAATATTAGTTTTTTCATTCATTTGTATTATATCACAATGATTAAATGTATCACGTACGATATCAATAATTGGATCAATAAGATAAAATGTTTGTTTATATTCAGTTTTTAAATCATTACGAATTTGTTCATATGATTGCATTTTTGGATGTGTAACAAGTACTAAACTTCTACGAATGATTTTTTCAATTTCTTTTCCATGCTCATCGAATTTTCGAATTGGTGGTTGTGATGATTGAATATGCTCATGAAGAATGGTACCTAATTCTTGACGATGAGTATTTAATTGTAAACGACGACGTTCATCAAGTAAACCATTAGATGAAACTGTTGTTGATGATGATGATGAAACTTTGGTTTTTGATTTTGAACGACCACATGTTAAACAAGAACTTGTTTTATCATCTATTGGTTTTGTCGTTTGTTCAGATGTCTTCTTTTCAACAGTCATGGGGGTTTCACTTTGACTAGAAACATCCGAAATAGGAGAATGAGTTTCATTGTTAAGAAAATTAATATATATATCATCAAATTGATAAGATAATCTGATTATTTTGAGGATATTCTCCGCCTTTCTTGGCCCACATTTTTTGTTTTTTTTTGGCCATTGTATACTAGGAAGTAGTATCCTATCTTTACTGAGTACATTTTGGATCAAAAAATTGTTTTTAAATGTAAAAAAAAAGAAATTAGCGAAACTTGTACATTGTTTCGCATTTTTCTCAAAATCAATTTTTCTAAAAAGAAAAACTGAAGTTTTCCCTGTTTTTCTTCTAGTAGTAGCTTCGGTCAATTAGGGCGAAACTTTTTGTGCGATAACTAGAGCCAAATCGGGATGTATTCATATATATTTCTCCTCAAAGGTGTGGGTGTTGGATATTCTCGTCATGCACACACGCCTACAACCTCACCCAGATTACACCCTATATGCATAACATTCATCAAGTAGAAACTAAACAATAATTATCTTAATTCTTGATTTCTCACTAACTATTGAATGAATCAAAGTATGTGTTGAATAAGCGGTTTAAAACGACTAAGACAATGAGAATAGATTGGTAACCAAAATGTTAAATGACCCATAATGTATTGATTAACAGACTTTCATCCACTAGAAGAGTTTAGATTGTTTTTTTTTGTCCCTGTTCTTTTCAAACTGCTTATTTAATACATAGTTCGGTCAAGTCAATGAGAAAATTAATGATAAAAATTACTATCGACTAATTTCTACTCTACTATGATATCTACTCATTATTTAATTTTAAAAAAGATCTAATACAACAAAATAACCAATTTGTATTAATCGGTTAAAAAAAGACTTCTTTGTATCTATCAATAAACAAATTTTCTCGAATATTCGTAACATTTAATATTCAAAAAAGGATGATAACATTTTTCGTTATGATTGAAATCAAATAATTATATCATGTTAAAAATTTGAAAATCTTTTAAATGCAAACTTTGAATAACTGCCTAAACATTTTTTTTCTTCTAATAACCTACTTTGTCATTTGGGATGTAGCTAATGGCGTTTCTTCTTTATTCAAATGCGTCACTGTGTCAAATGTCTGCTTGGCCGGAAGACGTACCATCTGTTGTAATAGAAAGAGAAGAAAAAAATAAATGCAATAATAGAAAGTCATTAATCATTTTATTTACATCGCGTATGGCTAATGGGAATTCGGGTTTATCTATATTGTCTAAACCTTGTTTTTCAATCGTACAATAAAGTGAACGTATAACAGGATCAACAATAAAAGCTTCATTTTTATGTTCCATAGTTAATTTTTGTTTTAATTCAAGATATGTTGTTACTTTTTTATCTTTAATTAAATCAATTGCATGTGTTAAAATTTTTTCTAATGATTTATGATCTTTTTTTGGATCAAAATCAACAATTGACTTTGCTATTTCATTTTCCAAACATTTTTTTAATTGATCTTGTCGATATATTAATTTTGAACGTATTTCATCATTCATTGTTATTTTATGTGCAAACTCATTTTTAGTTACACTAATTTCTTCTTGTGATATAACACTTGGTTTTATTAATTGAATATCGGATGATGTCGAACTGGTTATTATATTTTTATCTAAAATGTCACTACCTAAACCAGAACTAATTGATGGATGTTGTTGAATATCTTCCATTGTTGACACTGTACCAAATGTTGATGATGGATGCATATGTGAGGAAATAATTGCTTCAAGACCACTGTCAGAACGTGATTGAATTTGTTCAGGAATTGATGCTGATTCTTCTTGTTTAGTAAATGATTGATAGGCATCAATTTTTGATGGACCAGATAAATTAAGTTCGGGAATATTTAAAACTGGTGCTTTGATTTCAAATGATGATGGTTTTTTAGATTCAGTAGAAACATTCTAATAATAAAAAAATAATTATAACTGACATGTTATTTTTTATACATAGAAAGATAATTGTTGGATGAAGTTTATAATAATCTTACGCCGATGGATATTATATATTGTCCTATTAAAAACTCTAAAATGGATTTGGCTTCTCAGTACTTTCTTCAATAATGATGACCATTTCGCTAGATTTTCGTCTTGGCATTGCTTTCATAAATAGATCTACTAGGCACTACAATAGTCTACAATTTTCAGACAAAATAAATGCGTTCCTCTAAAGATATTGAGTTCTTGAAAATGACGTGACTTTTCCGTAGAAGATAATCGCAATCGAAACTTCTTAAACATTGAATATCTTTAGATGAATGAATTTATTTTCTCTGAAAATTGGAGATCAGTCTAGTTCCCAAGAGCCTTAGGCAGAAAAAAAGTCTCAGATCGTTGTTACTAGGACACTATATAATATTTATAGGCAACAAAACTATTAAAATCGGATGAAAATATTTGAGAAGATTTTCCGGTCAGCATTCTTAAGGCATATCTCAAGAATCGAAATCTGATCTAATGTTTAGTAATCAGAATTATTTTAAGATAATAAAAATTATTGATTGATGAAAAGACTAAATAGCAATATGATAAAATTCCTTTATGTTCGGACTTCGCTCTTTTATAATAACATTCTCTAAATGTGCCACTTGATAAACAATATAAGATAGAACTAGTACTGTTTGATAATATTTTTCTCCTAAAACTTTCTGTATTCTCTCAGACATTTTTTGCTTCTGCAAATTCTCTTCTTTTGACAAGAATAAACAAATATATATGACAGGATAAGTAAATAAAAATAAAAGGCAATCTTTTTTCATGAACCGTATCAATTATTATAGGTTCAATAATCACAGCATCACTAACGAGTAAATCTTGAAAGTTGATAAATCACTTGTAATCAACGTCTTACGTCATTAGATATATTCTATTGAAACTAGAAAAAGCCTAAAAGAATTCATGAATTTTTCTTCTTGACATTTGTGTACATTCATATCATTTTTCAACAGGAAGTCTTTCGAGGAAACTCTTCCAACTAATAGCTTTCATTCGAGCTCATATATTACTGATTGTTAGGCCTTATAATGTAGATTTAAGTTCTAAAACGATATAGACCATTAGTACTTTCCTCTTGAAGTATCATCACTTTACTGAATTTTCAGACAAGTGTAGTGTGCTCAAACCTTGGTATCACCAACTATGAAATGGCCGTGGATAAGTCGCTAACGACTTTTTGTTTCTAATCACTCGACCAACAGCATGGTGACTACGTTATGACATACACCTACTCTTGTGACTATTTAGTGTGTATGGGGCGTTCAAGCAATTGAGCGCAATAACTCAGCGTCAGACAGATCACCTGTTCAGACCTACAGCTAGTCATAGATGTAGAGAAGATATCGGACTACTAAGTCTGTCACAATGCAGTACCTCATACCGTAAGGTAGCCAAAAGGTAGGGGTATTATTTTTCCTTCCTTTTTTCTAAGATATTCTAATGAAAAAAGTTTCCAAAATGGTTATAGCTGAAGAAGAAATATATATCAACATGATTCCTTCTGCACTTTGTTTTAGTCTTTCCTAATGGTGTACAACTTCTCTCAAAAGCGATTTTATCACTTAAAGAGATTCGCTCTTACATGAAAATGATGCTGAAACTTGGTAAACTTCTTTCTGCAGTCGATGACTTCAGTGTTTGGGAATTTTTCAGCTGAAAATTCTGAAAACTAAACATATTTTGATGTAAATGTACTAATTAAAGTCCCAATTTTACGGAAAATTAATAAATTAAAAGGCATCTTCTATTACCGAGAAAAGTTTAAAATTCTTTGTTGACACTTACTTGAATTTCTTTCACTTGTTGTGTTTCAATAGTCAATGTTGGAATATCTATTCGAACTTTTCTTTCTTCTCCTAGTTGTTTTTCAACATGAGGTGCTTGAATTGGTAATTGTACTTGAATTTCTTCTTGGTTTTTAATTTCATTCGATGGAACAATTGTTTCAGTTTGATTTATTGGTTGTTTTTTATCTTGTATATGAATCGTTGGTAAAGTAATAGTTTCGATTGATGTTGGAGGTAAATCAACTGGTGGTAAATTACTTATTGGTGCACGTAATGATTCTTGAGTTTTTAATGTTGATGAAATATTCGATGTTGAAATAGGTATATTAACTTCTGGTAGATTTGTTTTTGGTGCTTGAATAGAACGAGTTTTATCTTTTGAACTAGTTGATTTAGTACTAAAGCATGAACATAATGAAAGTTTTGAAGATTTTTTTGTTGGTTCAGATTTTGTTTCAATTAATTGTTTTTCAGATGTTTTTATTGTTGAAACAGCTTTTGATGGCATATTATCATTAAATGATGGTGAACTTGATTTAGAAGTTTTTGGTAATGTCAAAATAGGTACTGTAGATGGTAATTGAAAACTAATATCCGGACTTGTCTTCTTCTAAATAATTATAAGAAATTTTTAAACAATCAATAAAAACGATCGTGCTCGATTAGATGATTTATTCAAACTTGAGAAATTAAATATTCCATGTTGCAGAGCCAGTAGAGACGCGTTGAATGATATGTAGTTAACCTTATTTTTATAAGACTTTGAAGGAACTAGCACCGATTTACTAATCAATGACTATGCATCTAAAGCATCATTCACTATCGATCATGCTTTGGATAAACATTCATCTATCAGCATATTGACGCCGTCACGACTGACTAGCTACGTAGTTCTACATATATTCATGAGATACTGTTGAAATTTTGGTACCCTCGACCACGAAATGACCCTGGGCAAGTCACTAACGACTATTTGTCTTGAATCACCCATCCGATAGCATCCTGCCTACGTTGTGACATAAACTTGCTCTTGTGGTTGATGGGTATTTATGAAGGCTCAAGCAATTGAGCGCAAGAACTCTGTGTCAAGTTGGTCTTCTGTCCAGAGCTCAGAGATGTAGAATCTACCCGCGTGCGCAAGCGCGCGCTGGGGCAAATTTTTTTAGTCTGAGGAAATTTTTGGAAAATCATTGTGTCTGGAAAGTTTTTTGAAAAAATAATTGCGTCTGATGAAGTTTTGAAAACTATAAGGTTTGGAAAAATTCTTCGAAAGATTTCCCTGCTTGGGGAAATTTTCCCTTTTTACAGCGGATTCTGCACTTCTGCCAGAGCTACCGTAAATATTTATTGTGGAGAAGATATCGGACTATGTGATCTGCCACTAGGCGTCACCCCATCCTGCAAGATAGACTGAAAGACAGGAGTTTTTTTTCAGCCTTATGAATATGAGATTTACTATACTATTCGATATGCCTAGACTTGGTTTACAACGTGATATACTTGGTTTCTCAGTTTTGAATCAGTCATCAAATCCGATAGGTCTTTTTTATTGGAAGAAACATACTTCAATAGTCACTGAAGGTTGTGATAATTGATCAATATTGGGTTCAATTATTGTAAGTTTTTGTTCGATTGATGATAATTCTGGTTTAAATAATATTTCTGTTTCATCAGATGATAATTTTGGAATAATTGTTTCTGTTTGAATAGTATAGTTAGTTTCAACAGGAAGATTTTTCTGATCATTTTGAATATTTAATGTATCTTCAGCAGGTAATGTTAATGTTAAATCTTTTTCAATAGTTGTTGTTATTGGAATTTCTTCAACGGTTGGTTTGATTTCAATATCAGCTAAATTATTGATTTTTTCTTCATCTCTTGTAAATTGAAGATTAGGTAATTGAACATTAGGAATTTTCATAGCATTAAAATTTGTATCAATGAATTGTTTATTATTTTCTGGTAAATTTAAATTAGGTACAGGTGTTAAATCAATGGCAGGTACAGAGAATTCTGATGTTTGTTTAATTTGCCCTGCTGCCATATTAACTTCTGGTCGATCATATGTTGGCAGTGGAATATCAGGTTTTGGTAAATTAGTTGATGGAACATGTAATGGATCAGCATCCAAGTGATGTGTTGGACATAATTGCGTATTGGATGATAAATCACGTTCTGCTGGTGGTAAATTAAGTGCTGGTACTTTAGATTTTTGTTTATTATCATGAAAAAATGTTGACAATAAACCAGATTTTTTTTCGGTTTTGGATTTTTTTGTTTTCTTCGAAGTTGTTGGTACATCTTGAGTTTTGGTTTCTTTAATATCCGTACTTGGTATAATATCAGTTATGATTGGAGATATTTCATCACTTTTTACTTTTTCTTCAACAGTTTTAGTTGAAAGAAAATCACCACCAGATTTTTGAATATTAGTTGTTGACGGAATCATTGGTTCGTTGGTGATTGTCTGAATATAAAGAGAAAAATTTTCAAATAAACGATCGATTCGCGCTTTTTACATAGAATTCAAACACGTGCTCGTTTTCACTGTTTCTATTAAATGAGGTCAATCTTGCGCAATTCTTTTTCAGTCGATCAATGAATTCATAGAAAGAATAAATCTACAATTATATAACGTTTTCTTTGGACCTGTTATGTCTTATAGAACGTAATATGACGTTGTTTTTATCTATGTTGAAGTTATTACACACATTAAAATACATTTAAGCAATTTTATGGAGCATACTGAACTTACGCATTTATTAATATCTTTTAATCTTGATTATTTTCCTATTACTCATTGTTCCTGAATAAGTTCAGAAATTGATCGATGTTTAAGAATGAACTGACTCAAAATAATTTGATTGAGGTCAAACTGATTTGAGTTCGCTAAATCTTAAGATCATATATGGTCTTCGGTTCCAAGAAAGCATTTTACTAATTCCAATTAAACCGAAAAGGTAATTATTATTGGATTATGCTGTAGAAAATTATAGACCTGCTAAAGAGTAGATTTGAATCACATTTTCGAAATGTGTCACAACGAACACTTTGTATTGCACTTTAATGCGACATACATTATGTCGCAGAGTAGGACACATTTTGTGTTAGTATGAATGCCAAAAATTAGGAAATTCTCGTAAATTCGAGATAGAGAAATTTTTTAAAGCTAGTTATGAATAGAATATAATATGACACAAATAAATACAGCATATTACTGAAAGTAAGAGCGACATCTATGGTCAAAGAGTACTTGAATTTTCTATAATTTTTACTGTTGAGGAAAGTTGAGAAAATTTTTATTGATTTATGATCTATATTATTGTAACACTCATAAGTGCTTATATAGAATATAATGATGAATTGAAAGATTGAGACGGTAGAAAATGAAGAGATAAACAATGAAACACAGAAACTCCGTGAATGAAGCTAGTTCCACAGAACAGGAAGAGCTAGTAGGAAGAATCAGATGGACGTGTATCTATTCTACATTAGTGAACTTTTCTACTTTTTATCTAAAAACAAATTTCTTCTAAAAACAGTGGGAAGCCTAAATCAAATGAGTATAAATATATATTATTTAATCTTTTCGAGATATATTATTTGATATAGTTTTCAAGTGGATTTTCTTAAGGAAATGAAAGAAATTCGTCGCACTTATAAATACAGCATCGTGAATTAGATGAATTGTTACTCTAAATTGCCTTCCAAGTGCTTCTTATTGAATTCGGAGAATGAAGGGGAAAAAATTCAGACAAATAAAATCTATTTCAATGAAATTAATCAATGACTTCTTACTTTTATTTCTGTTTTTGTTTCAACCGATGATGGTGTTTGTTGAAATTCAATCGTGCGAGGAACATCATACATATTACGATCAACGGTTGAATATTCGTGTTCTATAGGTATTATTGGAAGCGGCACCGGCTCGCTAGATGGCAATTGATAATGTGGTTCTTCAGTTGAGATTACTTTTTCAACAATTATATCTGAATATACTTCTGGCTTCGGGAAGCTCTATAGAAAGAAAAAAAACAAAAGAAAGAATTTATTGAAAATAATTTTTTGAAAGTCATTGAAAGTTTACCTTGGGACTCTTTTCAAAAGTTCGTTCTTTAAATGTATCAATATTAATTTGAGAGAAAACCGATGAATCTTTGGGAATTGATTCAAATGTTGTTCTAGTCGGTATTTGTGGTTTGATAGGCTCGTTCTTTGGTAATTCATAATGAGATTCTTCAAGTGATGATGTTAATGTTACATTTGTTATATCTAGACGTTCTTCCGGTTTAGGAAGATTCTAAAACGAAAGTAACATATAGTTTTTAGAGTGTCTTGAACATTACATTGTTAATCTTACCTCGAAACCCTTTTCAAAAGTTCGTTCTTTAAATGCATCAATATTGACTTGAGAAAAAATTGACGAATCTTTTGTGGGTGATTCGATCGTTTTTATTGCTACCATGGATGGTTGTACAGGTTCATTCGTTGGTATTTCATAATGAGATTCTTCAGCTAGTGACACTATGTTTTCATCTGTTGCCTCTAAATGCTCTTCTGGTTTAGGAAGATTCTACAAGAAAAAAAAACAAAGAATATTTCAAATGACTTTCAAGGAAATCTCTTCAGATGTCTCCTTTCGATTTCAATGACTTGTTGTCTATAAATACTACATAGCATTCGAATAAAAACTCCTAAAGAGTTTGGGTTTCTATTGAGATTTGACTAAGCTATCGAACTTTTTTCTAGATGTCCCAGTTTTACGAAAATCTTGTATTTTCGAATTTTTTATCTGAAAACTTTGCATATATAGAAAACTCCATTTGACTAGTTTCTATAAAAAAACAACTCATATGTTTTGAATAAAGTCTTTTCGAGATAAGACGCTTTCAAAAAATGCATCCTCTCTAGTGGTGCATATAAGTTGAGAGCAGTTGTATTTTTAAGTTTTCTTGTCGATAGTAATAGTTAGGAAGAATCTGAAAAAAACATTCGAGTAGTTGAAAGGATTTTCTATCAGGATTGGTGAACCCAACCATTTAAATAAAACTGTTTGAGTGTGAATGTCTAGAAAAGCAAGACCCTCAAATTAGTTTTGTGGCATTCATTTCAAGCTTTGTGCAGACGGTTTTATTTGATAGAGCAAAATGAGATGTCTCGATCCTCTTGATGACATTACTCCATGGAATGACATTCAATTTACAGAAGAACAAACAAGCATTTTTCTTTTATATTTGTCGGAAACTTCAATGATTTTGTCATGTTTGACGCTTTGGGACCTCGTATAAATTGAATGACGCTCGACGAAAGAATATCATAAAGAGAAACGAGACATTTCATTTTGCCTTATCAAGTAAAACTATTTCCAATCATGTTCCAATGGATTCAGAAAATAAGTTTGGGGAATCTTAGTTTTCGAATCATCCTCTTGCAAGTAGTTCTGTCGTAGTTTTTATATTCACCAACTTCAATAGAGAATCTTTTCAGTTACTCACATGGTTTTTCCCAATCTTTCTAACTATTAACATTGAGAAGAAAACTCAAAAATACAGCTGCTCCAAATTTACATCGGTCACTATACAATATACTTTTTTTTAAAAGCCTCATATCTATAAGAGACCTTTTTGAAAACTTCTGAATTTTTTTAAATAGATGCTCGTCTAATTGAGTTCTCTTTATCAACAAAGGTTCAGATCAAAATTTGACAATACGAGTTTTCAGAAAACCTGAGAATAATAGAAAACATGCATATTCAAAAATTCGATAGCTTAGTCAAATTTCAATAGAAACCCAAATTCTTTGAATGCTTTGCATTAGAACACTATGTAGTATCTAACGACAAAAGATCATTGGACACGAAAACAAGCAGCTGAACTGACTTTTTCGTTCGAAATTTATTTTGAATTTTACCTCGGAAGGTTTTGGAAAAGTTCGTTCCTTAAATGTATCAATATTAACTTGAGAGAACACCGATGAGTCTTTTATTGCTGCAGATATGAATGGTGATTGGCTAGTAGTAGCTGCTGTTGTTGCTAATGATGGTAGTAGTGGTTCACTAGGTGATGATTGTTGATAAGATTCTATAATTGGAGTTATGTTTTCATTTAATACATCTAACCGCTGTTCTGGTTGAGGAATATTCTGAATAAGTAAAAGCGATAATTTTTAAAAATGACTTTTTTTGTAATGGAGTTTTATTTTACCTCGGCACTCTTTTGAAAATTTCGTTCTTTAAATGTATCAATATTAACATGAGAGAACACTGATGAGTCTTTTATTGCTGAAGATATGAATGGTGTTTGGCTAGTAGTAGCTGTTGTTGTTGCAAATGATGGTGGTAATGATCCACTAGGTGATGATTGTTGATGAGATTCTATAATTGGAGTTATGCTTTCATTTGTTACATCTAACCGCTGTTCTGGTTGAGGAACATTCTGAATAAGTAAAAGCGATAATTTTTAAAAATGACTTTTTTTTTTGTAATGGAGTTTTATTTTACCTCGGCACTCTTTTGAAAATTTCGTTCTTTAAATATATCAATATTAACATGAGAGAACACTGATGAGTCTTTTATTGCTGAAGATATGAATGGTGATTGGCTAGTAGTAGCGGTTGTTGTTGCTAATGATGCTGGTAATGGTTTACTAGGTGATGATTGTTGATGAGATTCTATAATTGGAGTTATGCTTTCATTTGTTACATCTAACCGCTGTTCTGGTTGAGGAACATTCTGAATAAGTAAAAGAGATAATTTTTAAAAATGACTTTTTTTTTGTAATGGAGTTTTATTTTACCTTGGCACTCTTTTGAAAATTTCGTTCTTTAAATATATCAATATTAACTTTAGGTAAAATCGGTTCATTAATTGCAGTTGATGATGATGATGATGGTGGTTCAATATTTTGTGTCGTTATAATTATGGTTGAAGATAAATCTTCTTTTTTTTCTTGTTGAACAATTTTCTTTTGTTCAATAGGTGCTTTAATAGTTTCGGAAATTGTTTGTTTTTGTTTCTTTTTTTCTTTAGCTTTTGTACTAAAACATGATGCACATAAACCACCAGTTGATTTTTTAACTTTTTTTGTTTCATCGTCTTTTTTAATTGGTAATGTTGGTAATGGTCCTGGTTGAACTAATTCAATATCTGGTAACTTAATAGCTGCTCCGTGTAAATCAATAGTTGGTTTTTTTGTAATTGTCATTTCATCAGTTTTTGTTAATGGAACAATAACTGGTGTTTTTTCAGGTTGAACATCAACTGGTTCAATAACTGGTGAACGTGGTTCTAAATGAATCATAGGTTCATGTTCAATATTTTTAGATTTAAGAGTAATTCGTTCTATTTCAGGTGTAATTGGTCGTTCATATTCAGATGCTGGTTTTACCTAAATAAGAAAGTAAAATTAAGAAATAAAGAATATGATTGAAGAAAAGAAAAAAACGGATAAAATAAAAGCAATTTGAGATGAACAAATACTAATTTGAAGTAACAGAAAGAAAAAGGAAGATATACTTAGGTACAAGGATATATTTAAAATATTAATCCTTACGATAGGTAGAATGAATCGATTTTCAAAATCATTTGGTTTATATGACATATCAAGACCAGGTCGAGCTCGAAACGCATCGATATAAATTCGTTTACCATCTTGTGTAACAGAATAATCAATAACGGGTTTTTCTTCGATAGGTTTACTTGATTGTTGTGAAATATTTGCTCTACTAACAATAGTTGTTGGTTGAATAGTTGCTTGACCTTGTTGTTCAGTTCCTGCTTTAGGTTTTTTACTTTTAAAACAAGCCAATAAACCACCGCTACCACTTGATTTACGTTTCTTTATGGGTGCTGCTGCTGTTGTTGTTGTTGGTGGTGGTGGTGGTAGTGGTGGTGATGGTGGTGGTGGCGATGATGAAGATGGTGGTGCCGATGTTAGTTTTTCTTTTGGAATCATTATTGGAGCGATTTCCGATGATGAAACGGGAACAATTATTTCTGATTGTATTATTTGTTCAGATAAAATCGGAGATGTTCGATCATCATGAATATTTCTTTGTTTTGCAAGATGATCTGATGAAAGTTGTTTTTCTTGAATTTGTATTATTGTTGTGTCAGTTTTATAACCTGGATAATTAGGATTGTATGTTGTTTGAGCTTCAACAAAACGACCGGGTTCTGGTGAATAAGCAATTGTACGTGTATGTTTTGGAAAGAAAAAGGCAGTTAAGATCCTTGCTTGTTCTTTATGAATACCTAACGAATGTAAACGTGCTATATCATTCGGATCTGTACTATCCAAACGCAATTCACGTGATAATATTGCTTGTCCAATAGTCTGTAAATACAGTCGATCAAATATAAGCAAAAAGAAAAAATTCAACTTACTTTATCCGATGCATTAAAATCTGATTTAATTATTTGAATTAAATCCTGATTAAGTTCATATTTATCTAATTGTTCTTGTGTTGCTTTATCTAAATCAATTTTTTCATCTTCACATAAATCACTACGTATTGGTGGTGTAGGTATATCTTGATTAATTGGTTCAAATTCAATTTTTATTTTACTTGCTAAACTTTCATGTGTTCCTGTCGTCATTGAATAACCTGAATCTGATTGACTAAAATCATTTGTTGATGATTCTTTCATATCATATATAGGTAATAATGTACGTGCTATATCAAATTGTAATTGATCATATTGTTCTTTATTATTTAATATTGTTTCTGTTAATAAACGAAATTGTTTTTCATTAAAATCTAATGTTGGTTCAAATAATTGTTGTAATTGATAAATATATGGTTCAGTGATATTGAATTTTTCAAACGGATTTGCTTCAGCAAGATTAATATCGGTTAAATATTCTCCGGAACGTTGAACTCGAATTAAATTAGATATTGATTGATCAGATAAAGGATGAAATAAATGTTTTATATATTGAATTGTATCATTTGATAGACCTAATTTAGGATCTTCAATATCAATATATTCATATGCTATTGCTTCAGCTAATGTTATTGGTTTATGTTGAGGTATATCAGCAAGCATTTTTATCAATTGTTCTTCATTATAAACAGGTAATGATTGTTGAATATCATTAGTCATATTTACTTCTCTAATTGGTTGTTCATCATCATTAATAACTAAAAAGAAAAAATTGTTTTTGGTACTCAATGATACATAGATAAAACGAAAGAGAAAGAACAATATTCGGATACATACGATAAAAGACAAAGAATGAGTGTGAACAAATAATTCAATGCATTCGGTTAATAGTTTGATTTATGTGAAATGAGCTTTAGTCTATTGAAACTTACCAGATGTATTAGAATATCGTCCCAATGGCATCCAACGGCATTTAGACAAAACATACCGCCGTCGAAATCTCATTGTGTTAACCGATATATTGTTCACTGAGCTGTTCGCATATACGATCGAGCATTTTTTTTTTTGTTTCTGCTATTCAATCATTTGCTCACTCGTCCTTAAACAAACACCTATGTCTACATGTACACGCATCTGTCACCAATGTGTCTATTATTTATCCAGTGGTCGCGCCAATATGAGGCTTATTCATCAATAAAACAAGACATGACCTCTCATTTACTCGACAAATCAGTATGAACAAATGTATATGTGAACAAGAATTTGTTCCCTGCTTCTTCTCTATTTCTCTCTATCTAGCGTCTCGTTTTACTATGTGATATACTAATTGATCGTGACGTGATGAAAGATGTTCATCTTGAAGATAATTAAAACGACCGAATGCCTTAGTTATGGCTAGCTCATTTTTGTTCTGTTTTATATGTAATAAGGAAGGAAATGTTAAGACGATTAACCGCAAGCTATGGCATATATGCATACACGCCCTATGTATTCAATGAACCATAATGATGCAACTTCAAATAGAAAAAGAAAGAAATACGATGGAAAGCTTATGGCGATTATCTATTTCTTTTTTGATTTATCTATCCGAAAAAAGTGCATAAGAGGAGATCATCTTCTCGTTATACATAGTCAATGTTATATTAAGGAAAAAGTCAACTTGACATCAAGGTTAATATCGGACATACATTCATGCATCCATCTATCAAACATAATACATCTCAATGAAAGTCGAAGATTAATATAGGAAAAATGTACGTCAGATAAACATTTATTGAATTCTTAAATACCTTTTTCAACTTCTTCTTCTGGAATAGTTTGTTGTAAATTTTTAAGTGTATTTTCTATATTTTCAACAGATTGTTGTGCAAGAATTCCAATAGTTGGTTGATTTTCTCGTTCATCAATATAGTTTTCTACAATAGTTATATAGTCATTATTTTCTTGAATATTTTTAATATCATTTTCATTATGAATTGTTGAAAATGTATTTAATAAATTTGACTGTTTATTTGTAAATAAACTTTCATATGTATTAATCATTGGTTGTATAATTGTATTAGCCGGTAAAAAATTAGCATATTCATCAGTTAATTGTTCAAACATTTGTGTCCATGACGAACAACGATCATAACGTAATAAATCCAAAATACGTGATGAAATTTTTCTACCTTTTATATCTTCTTCATTTGATGTTAATAATTTTGATGGAGTGAATATTTTTGAATGTATATATTCAATTAATAGAAATTTTTTATCGGTAATTAATTGTTTAATATCTGATGATATTAATTGTTGACCTTGAATTTGTGTATCCATAGCTGACTTAATAACGAGTGTTGGTACCGTTGCGATTTGATCTTTTTGTGCAGTTGAAATTTTAATTAAACTTTGTTTATTATGTTCATCATCAGTTGAACGTGTACATGAACAAAATTTAGATTTTTTTTTCTTTTTTTTACTTTCAATTGATTTTTGTTCAGATTTTGGAGGTGATGATGATGATAATAATATTGTTTCATTAACAGGACCTCGTCCAACTGTTGTCGATTCAGATAAAACAAGTTTTTTTTCTGGTTGAGTTTGTTTTATTTGACTATCCGATGATAAATCTTTTGATGTAATTACTTCTTTAATTGGTTCACCAGGTTTGTCTTTTATTTCAGCTTCATTTGATTGTTTAGTCCATGTTGATGATGGTAAGAGTTTATTAACAGCGTCAATACCTAATTCACGTTTAGCACGTTCAATATCATGATGATCATTTAATGTTATTGTACGTGTTATTTCTGTAACTTCAGTTTTAACAACTTTTGTTATTGTATCATGTGTATCAGGATGTTGTGACATAGTTCTTTTTGTTTCAATTTTCTTTTTAACTTTACATTCAAGGTCTTTATCTTGTTCAACAGTTGTAATAATTTCTTCAATCATACCTTCATCATCCGATTGAGTATATTCATCTTCATCATCAGGATTACCACGATCAATACTTCGACCACGTAATAAACGAGATTTAACTTTATTTAATTCATCAGATGCAATTTGTTCAATAGATTCAATTGTTGATTCATTCATTTGATTTTGTTTAGATTTTGTATCTTTTTCAGAATTTATTTTTAATTCTTTATTACTTTCCATAATTTGTTCATTAGGAATTAATGTCGGTTCTGTGCGAGGCTTATCAACGAGAATTCTAAATGAAATTATAAAAAAAAAATACTCATAATCTTTGCTCTTGCTTTTTTTTCTTTTCAGAACACATTATTGATAGTGTTTGGCACCATCAGTGTGTGTGTTTATTTCGCTTTCAATGAATGGGATGAAAAAAAACGCCCATACGAGGGCAATTTTTATTCCTATTAATCAAGTAGTTTATGAAATATAAAAGAAATATCAATGATTAAGCCCTGGAATGTTCTATAGCGACATCTGTGTCTTTCAACGGAAGAAAAAGCTTTTTTTTTTTTATTAAATTCAATAGACATCGGAAATATCAGATTAAATGCATAAATAAATTATTAACATAGAAAAATGATTAATAAACATGAAATTATTGATCTAATTAATTTTTTCCTTTTTCAAAGCAAAACAAAAACAAAAACTTTTTTGTTTTTGTTTTGCTTTGAAAAAGATGTGTGAGTAGACGAATCAATTCAAAGAGATTATACTATTGAATACTCAATGTACTCTATGCGTTAATCTCAAGGGAATATAACTATTCTCTAATCAATCAATAAACTAGTTTCACCGGACATTGTGTGTTTCACGTTCATTTCAATGTTATCTACACGGGTGATAAATACTCAGTAGGGAATGTTCGTTCTTTTATCATCATATTTTCCAAGCATTCTTTTTTTTTTGGGATTATATATATATCAGAGCATTCATAGCATTCATGCAAAATCAAGAACTTTCTTTTTTTTATGTTTTGTATTAGATGATGATGTGACATAGTCATCATATATTTAACAAAAGGAAAAAAAATGTTTCTGTTGTTCGATTATTCATTGCTATAAGATTCTATTTCAGTTCTGACAACATACAACTCATTCTTTATTTTTTCTTGAGTGGATTCATGCACACACACACACATATATATACATGCATGCAATCGCACATCGCATAAGTGAGTTTGAAATAAATGTGAAGCTATATACACGAATCGTTCTTTCTCTCTCAAGAAACTAATTTGATTGACTAACAATACATTATGCGTATAAGCACGCATATGAAATCTTCCACATATACATATATATATATACACTTCATAAAATTTTCTTCTCTTATTCATTCATTCATTGAATGCAAAATGCAATCATTATAATTTTTTGTCAATGCTTCTTACCGAAATCTTTTCTTTCGTAATACATAAGGCATTAATTGCTTATGTGTTTTGGGTGTGAGTAAAAGTGTGTATGAACCATTTCTTTCCACAACGAGATCAACTCCTGTTAAATGCATTCGTGTTGTTGTATCAATAGGAACATTACTTGGCGACGTTCCTTCTGTTGATGATGATAAAGGATTATTCGTTCTTGCACCGGTTTCAGTAGCCGATGGTGCTTGTACTAATAAACGAGCATTTGAACAACCCATCGTGCGTATCTATTTATTCGTTTGTTCAATAAGAATATGTCTTTATAATCCAAAACATAAGACGATGCGTGAACACATCGAACGAGTAATAAAAAAAAAGGTGGTAGTAGTGTTTATTGCGGCTGCTATTCTCTGTCTGCAATAACACCGAGAAGGAGAGAAAGAGAAAGGGAGAGCAAAAAAAACCTCTTCGTCAAACGATGATGAAGAAAAACGCGAACAGAAAAAAAAAGAAGAAAAATAATGAGAGAGGAAAAACAATTTTCAAATGTCAAAGTTGGCAGCGGCTGTGTAGTAGAAATGGAATCTCCGTCTTCTTTTCCTTCTTTTGTCGTTGTTAAAAAAAGAGACAACTCATAAACGACTAACTGATGGCAATAAAAAAAGAGAAAGAAAGAAGACGACAACCAGCAAGCACAAGGAGAATTTTTTCTCTCTTTCATACAGCACGATTTTTTTCAGGCATCCGCACGCACTCGGTTTTTTTTCTGGTTCGTGTGACAAAAACGTCCGTCCATTATCGTTATGTATTTAAGTTAAAAATAGAAGAGAAAAAAAATAAGGAAGAGAGGATTCTATGTCATCACTAGTTTCCATGTTCATTGATAGGCTAACGTTTTCTATCAAGGCAAAAAAGAATTGACAATAGAAAAAGAAAAGATATTTATCTTTCGTCAATAATAAAAGATTTCATGAACGAGAGACTGAAACACCTTTACTTTGTCTCTACTTGTTTCTTGTTTTCACTCTTTCTAATAGTGATGATGATGATTATGATGATGTTCTAGAATGAAATATGCCGGTTAGGTTATGTTGCCTGGATGGATAGCGACAAACGCCGCTTTACCCTAACGTGTCTGCAGTAACCCGAGAACATCTAAGCACGCCGAAAGAACGAGAAGAGAAAATTAATTGTTCTTGTTGTTGTTATTATGCAAATGGAAAGGCAACATCTTTTTCTTTTTTTTTTCTTTTTATAGTCTTGATAGCTAGCGAGCAAGGTCTATCCTAACCATTGATGTAAATTTAATGAACATCTGTATATGTATATCGCAATCGACCAGGAAAAACGACAAGTGTCTATGTTGTGACAAATGCATATAGGCATACGTCCTTGTGCCAAGTATAAACATAGAACACCAAATGGATTTAGCGCATTCGAAGTCTATAATTGAATAAGACAAGTTTGTTATTTTCTTCTCCCCAAACACAGAACAAGATTGTGAATGATAATTGAAAATCTGTGTTAGATTCCCATTCATATGCAGAACGAAAAAAAAAGTTTTATAGAAAAATTTTCAATATTAATATGTATTTACTTTAAACAATCATATTGATGATGTAAGCATATGATAATACATAAAACAATTGACATTTCTCGTTTCTTTTTTTCCCTCTCACTCTTATTATTATAGCTGAGTATACATATAATTGTGTACTTGCACGTGAGGTGTTACTATCTATTATCTGAGAGTATGTCTGTCATTGGATCAACCAAAAAAAAAAAGAAAATGCAGCACATATTGATATTTTTTCCTGCCCATTGCGGAAGATGAAATGCAAAGACATGACTTCTCTGTATATTCACTAGTCTCATTGAATTTCAATTAATTTTGTTGGGTTGTCTGGCTCATCTATTGATGATGTATGTGCACGATTAATCTTTTCTATGCTCATAGCGGAAGTCAATTAGAACGTACATAAAATAGAGAAAGGCATGCAGTGATGCTTGGTAGTAAAAAGGTCAAGTAGTAGCCACCTGATCAAAACTTCCTGTGTTGTATTTTCTTTTGTTTTTTTTTTTTATTCTTACAATATTAAAATAAATCTCTTCAAGTCGATAAGTGAATTGTGCTCTTATAAATATTAAAACTGACTTTTTTTCTAGCAAAAAAATATATATTTGATTTGTTGTTACATCTTATTGAAAAGAAAAAGAAGCTAAATACACATACACTTTAAAATCAACGATATTGACACTTCATTGCTTCTGTTTTGAAAGAATTTACTCTTTTATGTAAGAAAATAAAATAAAAGGGTATCTCTTCAAATAGATTTTGACAATATATACAATATAGCGTGACAGCTCAGTTATGATAATTGTTCAAATTTTACGAATGTTACTTCAATTTTAACTGTAATATTTGCCTACTTGAATCAATAGTTTAGATCTCTTGTTTCCTTATCTATACAAAAAGCACTGAAGCACAGATGTTACATGCCTTAGCCCTTTTTCCCCTTCATTATTGAATTTCTTACTTTCTTTTTTTCTTTAGAAAAAAAAACTTCGTGAAGTACACTGATCGTATCAAATTGACATTTAGGCGAAACATCAATGGTGCCGATCAAATGCAAATAAATCGAAAACGAAACCCTTGAATACTTACAAGGGAACACAAAAATCATTCAAGAATACAAAAAAAAATATATTTCTTCGACTGATTCTCTTGATACACAGACAAATTTACGCAGATGGTACATAAATATATATCAATGTCTGTCCTAATGAGCAATTTCCAAAAAAAGAAAATACTCATGAGAATTTGAAAAAATAGAAAAGGAGGTGGAGAGATCGGAGTATTCCCTTGATAATGGATAATATTGTTCGTTAATCCAACGAATTCTATATATTTTCTAGATATCATATTGATATGATATTGTAGTTCATCTTACACAAGTCGAGATACATATGATTAACATACATTTTTTAATTGATTTATCGAACAAATAAATAAATATTTCTCAAAGACAATTTTGAATTGATTATACAATTTGTATAAAGGAATCGATTATTACCTTACCGTCTACATTAGATATAAAGTATGGGAGATAAATGAGGAAAAAATTTTGCTATAAATAGGAAAACAATATTTGCGGGTGATAAAAAGAAATGAATAAATGAGTAAGAACAAATAAAAAGCAGATACAAATTATCCGTAGATATGTGTGTGTATGAGAGATAGACATAACGCCAAACGATGAATGTATGTCGCATTAACAGTAGCAGCTGTTGTATGGTATCCGAAGAGAGCGAACGCATGCACAAAATATCAACATTAACACAATGTGATTATTCTTTCTTTTTTTTTTGTCTATCTCGCAATCAATAAAAGTGATTGACTCATATAAACTGTTATTCTATTCTCATAGTGGATACTTAGAAATTATTGATCGGAAAAATTAATTGTAATAAAAATCAGAAGATAATAGTGAAATTTTGCTTACATAACCAAAGAACATTTTGTTTATGAATAATTATATACATTTATATAATTAATTTTATCTCTTAGATCTCACAAGGTATTTATGCCTTAATGCATCAGCGCATGCTTATTAATTGTTTAAGTGAAAACGATTACTTACCAATACTCTTCTCGTATTAAGAAATTTTTTCTTTGTGGACTTTGCTTGTTTATTGACAGAAATTCAGAGTAGATGGATAAGTTGATACGTTCGTCTTGTTCTTCTAAAAATATAAATGAAGACAAGAATATCTTAGCAGGCAAATATCAAGGAATAAAAATAGATATATCTGTACATGTATGATTGATGGTATAATCGGTAGAGGACACTATTCAACATATAACCGATATATTATGATAAACAAAAGTGTCTTTTTTTAATGCTGTCATTCAGAAAAAAAAAACAAACGTGCGATTAAGTTGATTTTTTTCCTTTTCTTTAGTATCTGCAAGTAGTGTATATTTCGGACATATTAACGTCTAATATCAATACTTTCTCCAATGGCTCTATACTTATTTGTCATTTTCTTACCTTATATATAATAATAAAGTATGTTATTTTTAGATGCTATTGTGTAAAGTTGTACAGAATATTGTAACTAGAACACGTTTTTGTTTTTATGATGTTCTAGTATTGTTTCTTCTGTGCGTTATTCACACACTTAGTTGATTGAATAAATAAAGATAAAAGATATTTAAGAAATATTCGATATAAGATATTAATAAAAAAAATAGATAAATATGTATAATCAAGGTCGTTGATTATACACTTTAAATAAATAAAATAGAATGATTCTATTCGATGTAACAAAATAATAAATTTATAATATGTAGAAAGAAAGAAAAAAAGAACAAGACGGAACGATCGATTGATAAAATGTTTAATGTGTTGTTGAATTTAATAAGTAAAGTTAAGAGCCAAGAAAATGATTTGTTGAGAAAATAAATTGGTACGTCAAATCGAGGCTAGAAAGAAAAAGAAAAAAACGGAAGTTCATTTTCAATGATTTAATATCAATATCAGAAAACCAATTTTTTCACGTAAATAAACAACAATATGAATCAAAAACTTATACAAAAGAAAATATTTACAGTTCATATTAATTATTTCGTTTCAGGTTTTTCATTTAATGGAAAAAGAAATTTAAAAGAAGAAAGACTCACCAGTAAGGGAACTTCTTTGACTATTTATTGTCTAAGTATTTCTATATCGTTCGTAGCATAATAAATGCCACTTTGGAAAACGTATTGATCGCGTTCAGTTATCTTCGTTTTTCCTTTCGTGTTCCTGAGAATATTTATATACACCAGATCCCTCGTACGTGTGCATATATATATATATAGAGAGAGAGAGATCTATGTGCCAAACGATAACAAAAGGCGACGACAGTGAGATAAAAAAAACATTAATGTCTAAATGACATCAGGCATTGTAGTCAATTTACGTCAATTGATCTTAACATCAATACTATTGAGAAGACAACAACATCAGATAGAAACAAGGATTCTATATACATCAATATATCAGAAAAACATGTGTATGTTGAAAGAAAACGACAAATCAAAATACGATTTAACATCATATTAACAAATTTTGACATGTTCATTTCTTTAATTACAAACAAAGAATGCCTTAGAAAATTGTAAAGATAGTATATGCATTTATAGGTTTATTGGGTTACAAAGAAGTATAAGAAACTCTTGAAAAATTAACGCGCTTTGTTCAAGAAATGATTTATGTATTGTCATCGGCGATCA